CCTGGCGAATGTAAGCAGATTTGCTTTGAGTTGACAAGGAGAGACTTGAGTTATTATAATGCTGCTATTGAGAACTGGGAGATCCCATCTGGTGGAATTGGAATTGCAATTGGGCAGAGTTCAAGGAAGTTGCACTTGAGGGGTGCCTTGCGATATGGATTTTAATTACACTCATTTATTTTTTAATATGTAACGAGTAGGATTAGGAGGAGGGAAGTCTATTAGAGACTTGGGAAATAAGTACATAGGCCAAATTACATTTCTTTTAACTACCTAACAGTAGAAAGGAATATCTCTTTATCGTGCAACCAAGAGTTCATGTAGGTAATTGTATGTGGACTAAATAAATTTTAAGTAACATGCATATCTCCTTGGCGAAAGATCCACTCGATCCACTCATTAAATACTCTAGAGTAGGTAGTCCTACTACTCGTAGTTTTTTGGCGTTTCCGGACGCAACTGCTATTGCATACACAGAAAAAACTCGCCAAGGCTATCTTTTGTATGGCATGCAATAGCAGTGCGTCCAGAAACGCCAACAGAAACGCCAAAAAACTACGAGTAGTAGTGGCCTGGACACAAAGTCGAGCAGGTTTCTGCACGCCCTTAGGTGCATGACACAACCGGTAGAATATTTCTTCCTGGCCGTTTGTAGCCAACTAAAACTCTACTTTGCCGTATGAACTTTAGGCCTAGGAATACATCTTCACACCTGTGGTTATCCTTCAATCGAGAGAATCGAGTACCAGCAGATGTGTTCCCGCCTTGGCCATCCAATAGATTTCCACCTTTCAGTTTCTCCGGCAATTCACTCGGATCAGTACTAGAGCACATGTACCTAACTACATGTAGGGTATATTAAGTAGAAGCCCTCCATAGTAGCCAAGTATCGATACTGGGAATACGGGGAGAGCGGGACTCTAGAGATGCCCGCAATTCCACCGTTTCTGAGTCCCAGGTACACCAATGCACCTAGTAACATGTGATATAGAGTAACCACATCCGCTTAGTGTAGACAAAGATACCCCACGTTACACAGACCAGTCCACGGCAGCAACCCGCATGACAGAACGGCAGCAACAAACGGAGACGACTGACCCCACATCGAAGCTCTGCGCTATCGTATCGCTATTTATGCTTAGATTGGCCGTTTCATCGTCACTGCCAGCCACCACCATCACCACCACTTTGTCCACCTGCCTGTTACTCTATCCAGCACATCTCCTCCCCGGCCGGCCGCGAAAAAAAACAAGCTCCGAGGCGATTCTGTGCATGAAGTTGGGTTGCGGTTTTTGGAAACGAGAAGTAAGATTGCGATTGGCAGGTAGGTATGTCCTAAATGGGATGATATCGTCCCGGTTGAAAGGCCCGCCGGTTCCCCAGATGGCTGGCTCTACATATCATCAGAAAAAGCAAAGAAGGAAAACGAAAAAAAAGGTGGTACCAACGGGTTTTGGTCCGGGAACCAGTGTTGAGGTGTTTTATCTTGGTCCCCATGTTCTACTCGAACAAGAGAATGGTTTGTTTAACCCCTACTTACTACATGTAGCCATGATTTTAGAGCGAGTGATATACTGTGACGACAGCTAAAACATCTAACCCGGATCCAGTAATCCAGCAATTGGCGGTGGGATTGCAATTGTTACTGAATCGATAGACAAAGATTAGAGGGGATAGTTCGGCGCTTGACCGTGGGGTCACCCAAAAACTTACTGATATACCAAGGCCAAAGAAGATAACTAGCTTTATTTATTAGCCCCCATAAACGATAATTCCTTATACTCAAGATAGGCATGTTTCTCCGCCCTGGTATCGTCCTTGGTTTGCAGAGCGGAGTTTGTGATAAATATCGAGAAAGAAGGAGTGGAAAGGAAATTACTATAACAACGTGAAAGATGCTCCAATCTAACTATCCTGAAAATATTAGTATCGAGGCTTATAATACTTCATCAATAAATCGGCGCTGGTGGTACTACTCATTCGTTACCACGCCGGATCCTGCTTGAAATGAAACATAAACTAAATGAGTATATTTCAGTCAAATGGTAAACAAGACCATTATCAATTAGAGCTCCCATAGAAATGTCGTCTACTTATGATTCCTAGATACTTGAGCCTGGTTCTAGAACCCTCAACGCCGCTATATAGGCTTCCCTCCGAATCCACACTAACCCCAGAGGGGGTGGGGTTATCTGTGCCTGTAGGTATATGTTATTTGCAAGGCACTTATATCGGGCACTTTAAGCTGGCTCCGCGGCGATCAACCTCTTAGTTTATTTAGATCACGGTATATCACTCGCTATCAAACTAGCTTCTGGGTTGGGTGTTGAGATGTGGTCGCCGGATTTGGAGATATATGTAGCAGTTTTATATTGAGGTATTTAGGTACCGAAGCAAGGTAGTTGAGTATATGTCTCCAAGTTTTGAGATATCTGGATACTGAGATGCGCGTATATTGTCTACATAAGACAACAGCTTCCAGTGAGTTCGAGTATCTTCTCCTGTTTCAACAAGCAAAAGTCACTTAATGGTCTATTACCAAGCCTAGGTATTATCGCTTTTCTAGTAATACAAGAGGGTGGCCAGCTGTGGGTCATGCTGTACGTCGTGGTAGATTGTCATGGCAGGGTTATGTTTCCCTAGGTCCTCTTACCCTCGCCAACACCGCCCCGTTAAGTATTACTTCCGAGCCACTGACAGTTGTGTAGGCGAGCGTGGTCTAGTGGTAGACAGCTCGTCTTACTACACCGAGTGGGTTGAGTCCCCATGACCATCAGTAAGTCATGGTTCAATTCCGGGGGTGGGAGTGTTGCTGTGGGGTGTATATTATATACCGGGAAATGCGGAGCACAATATACCGGACAGTTGATCCCAACAGTCCGCGAATTGAGCCCATACCCCCGCGAAGGGTATATGGCCATAGCATCACTCTTTTGTAAATTTATTGCCAACTTGATTATCTTAGCTTCATAATTTGGTCTCCCTCTCCCCCCTATGGTCAGGACCGGATGTAGGATTGGGCCGGTTTAGCGAGACTTTTTCAGACAATATTCTTTTATAGTATAGTAGATATGTTCACAGCTTTACATACATAGCAGCAAGAAAGGAGTGGCGAGCGCTAGAAATTTCCTTTCAATTATCTAGTCTCTCATTCAAGCCAGTTGTGGTATTATGACTCTCACTTAAGGCTATACGCAACAACTGGCTGCCATCTATAGAGCTACTTTCTAAACTACAGTAGCAAAAAATGGGATAATCTCAGTACCGTTACGCGACTGCATAGGACGTGGTGCTGTAATGCTGCTGTAGCTAATACTAAACAGCATTATAATAAAGATTATTTTTTGTATAATATGTGTTAATAAGAAGGCTGCAATGACACAGTATTTTGTACTACCAGCACTAGCTTCAACTGCTAGTTTACCTCTACTGCGGCATTTAAATTCAAACAATACAGCAGTCTTACGGTATTGCTGTTGTATTTAGGGAAAACTAAAACTACTTCCCGAAACTTCAATCTAGGCGATGAAGCTTTTCACAAATCAAGATCACCAGATATAAATATACCCACAAGTTCATCAATTCTTATCATTTGCTAATTGGCTTGAAACAATCGCGATCTACTTCTGAAAAATAATTTTCTATTTTGTCCACAGGCACCTGTATGTATTGATGAATAAATAACGTGTGTCTATGGTGGGATTGATGAAGTTAACCGTTAAGTTCGTGAAGTCGTTGGGGTGGATGAAGTTTGTGAAATTGGAAACAGCGGTCAGCACTATATGGCCAGCACTATATTGCCAGCACTAGTAGAAGGGCGGGCAGGTGGTCAGGCGGTCAACGCTGGCAGGGGTGGCGGGCAGGGCGGGCACCTCAATACCACTTGAATACTGATTGTAAAGAATGCTGAATTGTACACTTCATCGCATTGGTCATGCCAGGCGGCACTTAAGGAAAATAAATTTTCCCTGGACTGTGGTAGTAAATCTAGAATTTATTTAAAACGGTATTTATTTAACAACGGTGTTAACACGATACTAAAGTGGTATCAATAACAGCCCTTTTTTTGCTATTGTATCTAATAAGTTGCTGGCAATACTGATAGTCTCGCACCATCACTGACAATCACCGTTCCGGAACAATAAGCTCCAGCCTTGCTAACAAGGTACAAAATTGCACCAGTCATGTCTTCTTCTTTTCCGGGGCGCAACATTGGAATATGATGACTCGGATAGTCTGGGAGTGTGTTCTTGTTACGAGTATCCATCTTCCCTGGGCCAACAGTCATTTCTGAAGGGTAAACTTATCTTCGGGCATGTCAATATATATCAATAGGCTCAGGGTTTCATGGAAGCTCACGGCCTGGTGCGATCATATCCTATCTATATTGATATACTGTTAGTCGATATACCCATAGGAGAATCCAAAGCTAGGAAGTCAATACTAGTAGGAACGTACGGATCTGATATTGAATGAGGCTAAATTTGTTGCCATCATCTTTCCAATATGGGTCATGGCTGCTTTACTTGCGGCATAGATATAGCTAGATCCTAACAACCTAGAAAAGCCTGCAATTGAGACAATAGTAACAATCTTTAATTGTTTCGTCAGCCATTTCGCACTCGCTAGGTCTGTAACCGTAAAACTTTAAAGGTAACATTTACGAAATTGCTGGACATTGCGTACCTGACTTGTTTGTTCCACAGTCTTCCTCTTGTTACCTTCATCTAACAGTGCTAGAAACGCTACACTTGTAAACCAAGCGCCAGTGGCATTCACTCTAAGACATTATCCCAGTTCTCAACCGAATCCTTACATAGATATGCCTGAAGATCTTCGATACTCCGATAATTCTCAGATTCCGGCTTCGACACATACGGTTCTGGCAATGGCTGTTGGCTGTGGCTTCTATTTCCTACAGTACCGGCATTGTTGACGAGCAAGTTTATATAGCCGACCTCTGATTTGATCTGGGCAACAACTGATTCTAGAGATTCCTTTCATGTAACTTCTCCGACGAGTGGGATTATCTTGCCGTATTTCTGGACAGCCCCAAGCGTTAGAGACAGAAATATAAGCAGCAGCTATAATTATTTTAATCGGGGGTAACTTCTCACGGAGTGCTCCTTCGCTGCGTTCTCCAAGACTTCTTTCCTTCTTCCTACGATATAGACCCTTTCTGCACCATTGTGCTCAAGAGCAGCCGCAATCATCAATCCGATACCTATGTGATTAAACTACAATGAGCCAAGTTGCCCCGCCATGGCTTACGCGGGGTAAATTATACCTGTTCCACCCCCGGTTACCACCGCAACTAGGCCCTTGGTCGAAAATAGAGTGTTTGCTTCGAGAGTAGACATTTTGGATGAAGGTTGAGGAGTTGATCAGAGACTCAACCAGGGGTTTTATATACTGAAGCGCTGTGGTACCTGAAGTACCGCGGCTCCTAGCCAGATAAACCCAAGATTTGTCATCTATAACTGACGTGATTGTTGGTAAAGTCGATTCAAGCTTTTTGTTTCGGTTAAGCGGGCTAGCGATGTTCGGGCCGAGATATCCCTGCTAGCACACAGATCAGATCTGATAATCAGTACCAAGAATACAACAGTCGCAGCCCAAGACGCGGGATCCGGAGGAATCGTAGGAAGGGCCCGCTCAATCATCAAAGAGGCATAGGCTGCATACAACAATCAAACAACAATCCAAGAGGTATCTTATCCCCTGCGTTGGTAATCAGTGGTTTGATGGAAATACCATCCCGCGCATGGTATCACAAACACCAAACACATCATGTGGATTTCTGTGCGAGATCAAGCCAGTGCCAACGTCGTACTACTCTCATGTACACGTATCACCAAAACGGTCTCATTTGACCGCTACTATCAATGTTCGGAAACTGGTCTCACTCAACGTCGAACGTGTCTCATCCACAGAGCTTTACAGGATAGGGACGCGGCCTATATCTCACGAGGGAAAGACTTGATATTAATTTGGGTTACTACATCCCTTGATCTTTGCACTGTCCGCGAATGACACTCTTTACGAGAATACCTTCTATCTTATAGAAAGCCCATATAAACTGAATCACTATCAGTGGACCGAATTGGCCTTTTCGATCGCAGTCTAAGCGTGTACTGGCCAAATAAGGGGTCTAAACTGATACCTTACGCTCACTTCTCCACACTTCCGGTTGGGTTGAATCTTATTCATACGTACTCTCCCTGCCTAGCCTTGTGTATATCTCAATCTTCTGTACTGGCCGGCTAATGACAGTGAGTCTATGAATACAGCATAGAACCGATGAATATCCACGGCTACAGTGTCCTATCTATGAACATCACGATAAATGGGTCTGACAGTTTATCATAGTCGAGTGATTGCACATGAATAAGATCAAATAGGTTCATGAGCAATCACTCGACTCGACTACATGTGGCAACTTACCCAAGTAGAATGATTCAGCCTAAATGAACTAAGTGAGAGATAGAGGGGATCTTTAAGACAACTTGATACCGATCGTGGTGACTTGAGTAGCAGGAGGAAAACATGGAAAATGTATAAATCCCTGCCCTCTTTTTCGGTGTTTTTCACCAAAATCCCTGTGGAAAACTCAATTCATCACTGATTCTTAAAATGAGAGGAAATCTATAAATCCCAGACACATACATCGTTCCTAGAACCCCCTTATCAAATACATGTAGTTAGCCAAAATAATATTTTCCGTTAACAAGTGCACCCCCGCGCTGCACATAATGCTCGCCAATTAACACTGGCCCGCCAGGACTCTTCGATCTCCTAGCTTAAGCTTAATATACGTCACTTATCTTTTTGATAGTATGTACATCAAGTACTATTCTTGGCCCACCTATTGACTATATCTTGGCTGAGCCCCGGGGACTTGAAATGACATAGTTGGCCGATATCTCCGGCGTGCGAAAGTTTAAAAGTTTCCTACGTATACTTCTTCTACTCCTTAGGAAGGTATCTAATCCGGGTTGGGTCGCCGCATGATTAGTTTTCTAGCCATATATACCATGGGTAGCACCTCAGTCAGAGAAATATTGCCAAGCCGATGCTCCAGTTCGTTCGAGAAAGCCCGCCACTCACGAACGGATAAGTCAGAAATTAGGATCCTCTTTGATATTTTCGTTGGGAGCAAGAACCCATGGAAAGCCTGATCTATCCGCAAATTTCGACTATTCATGGCTAGAATTACTATACAGTGTCGGTAACATTGAACCCTTTGGAGGGATCAAAACTATATATCCGACCTAAGTTTGAGCTGGCGGTCGGTCGGTGCATGAACTTACATATGTGCAAAGATCTAGCTAAAGGACTATCCTCTCGGGTTTAGACGTAAAATTTCCGTTTTGTGCGCCATCTTAATCGTCTTCATGGCGCTCGTTCAATCGGCGATATCTGTGCCTGGTGTGCTCGGCATTCTCACTTCAAGTCCGCTCAGCGGATTAAAACGCACAATTCGCACAGGACGACTCGTTCACTGGCGCAATGTCTTTTTCGATAGCGCAAAAATTTCTTCTCATGATTTGGCTTATATCCCGACGCCATAGATCTTCCTTGTTCAATCCAATTTCACCGAAGCGGAACAATCAAAGATTCATCGAGTGATCTTTGATGGTTGAATTTCTTGGCGTATACTAAGGTATATATCGCTTGGGTTGAGAGATGCCTGCCAAGTTAGCGGCCATCTAGTGCTCGGGAATACCGACATCGTGCCCGCTGTCGAATTTAAACTCCCCGAGGGCTCCGGTATCGGGCTTTTTGAAGAAGCCACAGGTATTTCCCCTTCTCGGGGTATCAATTTATAGCACGTACAAGATTGTAGCGTAGAACAGAGAATTAACGAAGAAAGACTCTGGGACTCCCGGTAGACAGTATCGCCTAGGAGGACACAGTAGGTAAACACCACGATATTGTAACACGACAGACGATGTTTCGCAAAGCATCGTATAAGTTGTGAAAACCGGCTACAGACGAAGGGATCTCTCTGTCAGATGAACATAACGGGTATTTTATAGTTCTGCGCATGTATTCCTGTCAGCGAAAGTCCATTCTCTTGCCCGCACGGGTAATCGCTGCCTTCAAACTCCAAATGCAGCCCTCGATAGCCTTAATGATCATACCTTCGCCGTCGTGTACTTGGTACATAACCCATATGTCGGTGCGACTCTCACTTGAAAATAGCCGAGATTTTTCAGCCCCAAAACAGGTCTGCGTCGCCACCACGGCCACTGGGCCTATTCCGAATCGGGTGTTAGCGGGATCATATGTCGGCGAAACAGCGAAGCCGCGCATCATGGAATATCACTCGACTAGAGCTCGCATTGGAAGCATTCGCACATGGAGGGGAGTGGGAGCTTAAATAACCTACATTACGACTTGTTCTCGAGAGAATTAATTCAATAAGAGTGAGCTAGTGTCTGTCCTTGTGTACTGCCCACAAAATGCCTGGGAATCATGTGCAATCGCACATCGGTGTTGTATTGTTTGATATCAGCCGAAAAACAACCAACCAATGCTTAAAAGCTAACTTCTACAAGCGCTCTCTGCAGTGCCGGAGCAACAGATCTACATACCCCACTCCCCGCTGCAAAGAAAAAAACGTGCGGAGAATTTCAAATCCTCCGTATCCGGGTACCTTTCCTAACTCAGTAACCGTTCCGGTGAAGCTATAGACTCCGAGCCAGACACCATCTCAAGGTATATAAATACCTATATCACAGCAAGTCGGGGAGACGCCTCCCTCGTGGCACGCATGCATACATATTATGGGGAAAGGAATTTAATGGGCTATCCTAAACTTTAAATTCCCCCGCACCTGGGCCTCGGGCCGGAGAAATTAGGAAAAAGAAACCAGATATAACGTGCAAGCAGGTTCGGTGCACATATCTCCGGCTGTGGCCACATGGCTTTCGCGAGATCTTCCTGCGGCGGGATCGACTTCAAATGCAATTGGTTAGCCTTTTAAGGCTTCATTTAACGTTTGGGTAGCCTTGTTTCCGTATGGATGGATGTATATCGATATATATCGTGAGTAATGATATATGCAGGTACACGTTTGGACGAACGACATAAGTATACATGCAGTAATGTCCATAAAGTCCCTGCCATAGCACCAGAACTAACTTTACATAATAGCTATCTCCCTCATCCAATCTAATCACAGCAACATCGTATTACGAGGAAGGACAGCCAATATTAGCTTTCCAAATATAATAATCATATGAGTTGATCGAATATGCAGCTGCGTCATCGATCGTTACAAAAGTGTGGTGCAGAATTAACAAATATGGCCACGGGCATAAACCTCCTTCTTGACAGCACCTCCGAAAAAGAAGGAAATAATGAAACCTCCCCAACATCTCTGGCAATTGATCTACCATTTCCAGTCCCACGGCTCGTGAATATCTGGGTCAAACACAGCAACAGGAAGGTAAGCAATGGATCAATCAATCCGTCAACCTGTCACTCCTAGAACTTAGGCTTGTGTAGGCACGTAGGCTGCACTCATGATCACAGTACAGATATCTGCGCGAATATCCTTCCACCAGCACAACATGGGGCTTTCCCACGATCTGGGGAACTTATCAACCTACCAAAATCACTCTACATGTCAAAGTAGGTTCTGCTATCTGTATACCACCCTGTCTTACTGAAATCCTCCCTTTCCTGGGCGCTGGGAACTCTGAAATCTGGAGTGCTTACGGCAACTCCGTAAATAAGCGGGGAAGAGCTGGTGCAAGATCGTAAGATCTAGAATTTGATATGTGTATAATTAGGCCTAGCAGAAATTGTTTCTACTCCCTAGGATCGAATTTGTTTCACAGTCCCTTCACAGCCGTCCCAGCCTGGCCCGTCAAGGCAGGTGGGTAGATGACCTTTATTTCTCATGAAAGAAATCTCACGATGTTATTCCTGCCTCCTTTGTTTGTACTATAGGGAAATGTACATACGTATTTGGTCTCGAATAGGTAATTACTTGCGACGACGATAAATTAGAGTAATGCTCTCTTTCGCATAGGCCCCCCCAAAATATTATGCTTAGAAATTAGTGAGGATAGCGCTTCCCCAAACTCCCCACAAACAAGGGCAGAAGTTCATGGTAGGCACGTTATTTGGGGTGCGGTTGGTAGTGTGAATTTTTTTTTTCACTTCATCCCCTTGAAGTGCGGAGAGAAGTGGAGAAAGCCTGACCCTTTGGAGGCTGTGGAGAGAGACGAACAAAAGTCATTTGTTCTGTGCTACCCTTAGTGTGAAGATTTATGGAGTCGAGTCGAGGAAGGGGTGTTGGTGGTGGTTGGGATTGTTGCTAAGGATTAGTAGAGTCGAGTTGAGTGGGTTGCTAGGATTTGGTCGCCGCCGGACAGGGTGCCGGTTGCGGAGCGTTGTCCTAGTTAGCTACCAAACCCACTCCTTGCTGTACCGGACAGGCTGGGGAAAAAACTTTCTCCGCACTATGCACTAGCTTCTTGGTTGGGTTTGGGTCTGGGGCCTGCCCGCGTTTTCGCTCGTTTGCTCCAGATCCAGATCTGACTTAGCTAGAGTACTAAGGCCCGTTCATGCCAACGTCGAACGACAGCTACATGTAGGTACGACAGCGATAACGGCGATGTCAAGTGTCAACAGAGAGGGAGGCTTTCTTGGAAACTTGGATGTATGCAATCTACCATCGACTGGCACGAAAGCTTACGCGTTTTGCCTTATTCTAATTGTACCTATCCTTTGGAGGTTTGGGGGTTTTAATTTTGGGGGCCTTTCGTCTCCTTCTCATCAAGTGTCACAAGAAATGCCCCCTTCAAAGTAGCGTGCCGATAACGGCCGGCCGGGGATCCTTGGCTTGGATGTTACTCTGGTTTTCGTCTCTTAATCTGCTCGTAGTAGAGCCTCTCTTTAATCTTATTCTATTTTACCCCTCATATCGATATGCCTCATGCTCATGATAGATAACTAATCATGATTCATGCTAGTTAATATAATACACATGCGTACTCCGATTATAGGAATACCTGGATAATCTGACATGCTAACCCCTCATTTCGCTTCGTAGCCAGATAACCTTTAGAGTTGAAGATAGAGTAGGGAGGAGGAGGAGAAACTGTGGAGACTGGGAGAGTGGGGAGTGGAGAGTGGAGAGAGTGGTGAGACGTGGTGAGGGTTTGAGCGGCTCTACTGCCTACCATGGAGAGCTCGAGATACATGATGCTGCTCTATTACTCTCCAGAGGGGTTCACTCTCGCTTGCCTCTTGCGCTATGCATATGCAAGCGGTTATGCGGGGGGGAAAAACAAAAACTCCGACCACCGACCACCGTCCCTCCCTCCCATCATCGCCAATACTCTCATCGTGCCCATATACGTACCCCCATCACAGTGTTTTTTCTTGTTCTTTTTCTTGGCCTGCGAGATCGGACAGGAAGTGGCTTTTTTGTACCCGGCCGGCCGGAAATTTGCGTGGTACTTGGCTCTTTGCTGGTGCAAAATCGACAACGTCCGTCAATCCCAGCAGACCATCCGAGCTCAAAGTGCAAAAAGTTTCTTTTCTTTCTATCTCTCCATGACTTTGGCGAGGGCCTGAGGGGGGTAGCGAACAGATCATGTACGCGAACATCTGTAGTTTGTGGTACAGGCTGTCGCGGTAGAGTATCAAACACCCACTCGACCAGGTACCCATTGATCTCGCGCGGTACCCCGCCCAAAATCCTAGATATCAGGGAACCTCTTTACCAATGGCGCTGTAAGCCATAAATAATTCAACCGTTCACGCAACTTCAACGACAGTAGTAGCTAAATCGACGAACTGTTTGGTTCTGCTACTCCATATGCGTGTGTCGGGGCACATAGGCTATGCTCCCGAGACCTGGTAACTGTAGCTAACGACTATAACGGATAAAAGTGGAGCCGACACCGGTGTTGCGGCCGGCCGGGGAAATTCGACCTGGACACCCCTGCGACTTCTGCAAACAGGGGGTCGGAATAACCATAAAAAAGTTATCTAATAGCGATAATTTGGGGTATGGGGGAGACCCCAGGTAAGGGGCAAGACGACAAGTGCCTACCACCTAACAAATTGAACCTAAAATTGGCGTCTCCTTTTCTTTGGGTCTCGCCTTGAAACCCTGATATTGTCCTGGAAGTTATTTCGCTTGAATTCACCGGCGGGGATTTGGTTTCGTGATGTTGTTGATATCAAAGATGGTGATAATGACCATGCGGCTCCTCGGCTTGCTCTTTGACCTTCGCCATCGTACCACCTTCGTCATGTGTCTTGTCTGTTTCACTGCAAGTCAGGACCACCTTTTGGCCTAATTATTTCTCATCTCTGTGGCGGCGTTATTTACATAGAATGGGGTATCACGAAATCGATTTTTCCCGTCGGCCTGCCAAATATCGCCACACAAAAACAGCGCCTGCGCTTAAGGGTCGAGAACGGACTAAGCAGACAGACAGCGCAGCCACCGACTGCGGCCACGAGGGAAACCGGAGCCGATACACACTAAGAAAAAAAGTAAGAAAAAAAAAGCAAAAAAAGGAAGAAAAGAAGGAGAAGGAAACGGACATGGTTGGTTGGTTGGTTGCAGCTAACATCGGAGAAAAGTCCTTCAAGGAAAAACTTCCTCCCCGTCGTTCGTGGCTTGGACTGCTTTGAGGGTGTGCGTGTGAACCTCTTCCCTTTAGCTGCAGGTGAGAAACACAAGTCTTGACTTTCTGTGCAACGGAACAGAGCAGGGCTACTACGGCCTCGGCATACCCATGCCAATGCATGGCCCGCCCATCAACACATGCGACCTTGTTCACCTTCACACACACTTGTGGCGATTTTCGTTCCCCAGGTTTTCCCAGGTTTTCCCAGAATCATGGAGAGAAGATGTTGTGGGGATTTCTGGGATCGATTTGAGGGGAAAAGTATCGTGGAGAAAGTAACCTCCAGCGCTCTCTCTGGACATTGATACCTACCATTTCATCCTTAGTTTCGAATTCCAATTACTCAAATTACCTACACTCATAGCTCCGCTACCCCTACTATCTAACAGTGGATTTTAATAGCTTCAATGCTATTTTTCCGGTTCAACCTGTTCAACCTGAGCTGCACCACATTCATCACAAGCTTTTGCTTGGTACGGAAAAGCCACAATATCAATGTGCTACCACCTAGCATTAACTAAGACCACTACAGCAAAACCCACATGCTGCTTTTGTTATGTGAAATGAGCTCCCTAATGAAGTGACGTACCTGGATAATAATATTTGTGTCAGTAAGTGTATGTGGTGCATGCTTAGGGTTATTTTGACCGAAGATCCGCCGCGGGATTTTCAGTTGTTCTCCTATGTTTTTGGCGAATGTCGTGAGATTCTCTGGCATCGTAGGTTTTGAGTTTTCGAGTTGTCGAGTTTCGAGTTTTCAAATCTTAGACAGCGTCTGTGTCTGTGTGTTCTTCTTACTCTGCTTCCAGAGTGAGTGGACCCACTGCCTGGGGCCATCGTGATCCTCCAAACGAGCAGGTATGCAGTTCCACAGTTAGAGCTCTAGACGCTGTCTTGGGAACTCTTGTGGCAAGAGACCCAGCCTCCCTGTTCCAAATTGTAGATGCCGCGGATGCTTTCTCAAAACTATGCCTGTTTAAGGTTGAGAATCATCAAAAGCAGCTAAGGTCACGTGTAGTGAAACAAATAGGTTCAACCAGTTGGGTTTCAAGCTCGCCGTACCGTAGGGTCTGCAATATCCTGACGGCTGGGAAATCAGTTTTTTTTTCGTTCTCTCCGGGTATATCGACATGGGTTTGCGTAGAGCAGAGTTCGGGGGCCCCGCCATCAGAGATGGAAGAGGCAGGGTCTCATTTCAGTAGAGTAGTGGTACTTTGCTTTAGCTTGCTCTAGAGGCAATTACTTCCCCCACCTAAGCTAAGAAAATACCATCACGCGCTCTCCGCATATTTACCACTCTAGTTCCAAGACATCTGTACTGGACTAACAGGGGGCAAGCCAAATTATGCGGGGCTCCACGGCCAGGCCATGGATTAATGCGATTTCTTTGATCACTGCAGGCGGTCAGTAGGGGGGGGGGGGGGTGTGAGGTATCTCTGAAATCATTATATATTCCTCGCTCCCTTCCTCCTCTGAATCACCATTCCACCTGCCAACTTGTCAAGCATCTTAAGAGAGGAGGACAGCAGCCAACTCCATCGTTCTCTTTCGACAACTCAAACCAGCTCGCAACCGCTGTTACATACACGATGGGTTTCATGATCAGAAAGCCCGCCGGTGAGGAGGGAAAGACCCTCCCGGCCATCTTGATTGGTATCTTCGTGGCATTCGGAGGTATTCTTTTCGGATATGATACTGGTAGTATCAACGGTATTCTTGCCATGGACTACTTCCAGAACGAGTTCGGAACCGAACACAACTCCGAAGGAAAGCTGGCTTTGACCTCTTCGCAGACCTCACTGGTTGTCTCTATTCTTTCCGCTGGTACCTTCTTGGGTATGTAGAAAATCACTTCACACTAGATCACTCAATTATGGTTTCTAACTAGTCGATTTCTAGGTGCTCTTACTGCCTCCCCAGTTGGAGACATGTTGGGTCGTCGTATGGGTCTCATTGCTGCCTGTGGTGTCTTCTCTATCGGTGTTGCCTTCCAGGTTGCCTCTACTGCCATCCCACTTATGGTCGTTGGTCGTCTTTTCGCTGGTTTCGGTGTTGGTTTGGTTTCTGCTCTTGGTAAGTCTTTACATCTTTTGGTATATACTTCTTTATGGTCTACTAACAGTCTTTCAGTGCCAATGTACCAGTCCGAGACTTCACCAAAGTGGATCAGAGGAACAATTGTCGGTTGTTACCAATTGGCTATCACCATCGGTCTTTTGTTGGCTGCCTGCGCCAACCAGGGCACCCACAACCGCAATGACACCGGCTCTTACCGTATTCCTCTCGCCATCCAGTTCATCTGGGCCATCATCCTCTCTATCGGAATGTTCATCCTTCCCGAGACCCCCCGCTTCCTCATCAAGAAGGACAACTACGAAGGTGCCGCCAGGTCAATGAGCCGTCTCCGTTCTCTCCCCCCCGACCACCCTGCCATTATCGAGGAGCTCAATGAGATCAAGGCTATTCACGAGTATGAGATGTCTCTTGGCCAGGCTACTTATGCCGATTGTTTCTCCCCGAAGATGCTCAAGAGGCTCTTGACTGGATGTGGTCTCCAGGCTCTTCAGCAGCTCACTGGTATCAACTTCATCTTCTACTACGGAACTCAGTTTTTCAAGAACTCTGGTATCGAGAATGCCTTCTTGATCGGTCTCATCACCAACTTGGTCAACGTCGTCTCCACCATCCCCGGCCTCTACCTTGTTGAGAAGCTTGGTCGTCGTCGTCTCCTTCTCATGGGAGCCATTGGAATGTGTGTCTGCGAGTTCATCGTCGCCATCGTCGGTGTCACCGTCTTCACTGGTGTTGCCAACAAGGTCCTCATTGCTTTCGTCTGCTTCTACATCTTCTTCTTCGCCATCTCATGGGGTCCCGTCGCCTGGGTCGTTACCGGTGAGATCTTCCCTCTCAAGGTCCGTGCCAAGTGTCTTTCCATGACCACTGCCACCAACTGGCTCCTCAACTTCGCCATCGGTTTCGCCACTCCCTACATGGTCGACGATGGCCCCGGTAACGCCAACATGGGAGCCAAGGTGTTCTTCGTCTGGGGTGGATGCTGCTTCATCTGTATCGCCTTCGTTTACCTCATGATCTACGAGACCAAGGGTCTCTCCCTCGAGGATGTCGACCAGATGTACGAGAAGGTTGACAAGGCCTGGCAGTCACGCGGCTTCCAGCCTGAGGTCAACTTTGGTGCCCACCACCAGAAGGATGAGTTCGCTGGTGATATCAAGTCTGCTGAGGCGGCTCACATTGACCGTGCTTAAGTGTTTTGCGCCTAGACCCCACTTTGTTTATTTGTTTTGGTTTATCAAACTCGCCTGAGACCCCTTGTTTTTTTCGCTTGTATCTTGGGTTTATTTTCTCTACAGGTTTTATTATAGGATGAGCAATGCTTGGTTCATGTCTGGTGAATGTAATGTATTTAGTTAGCAGCTAGTTACTTTTGATGTAACTTCAAGAAGTCAACGTGTAAACGGAATTTTCTACGGGTCCTCAAATGTTCCCCCATTGTGATTGTGAATTGCGAGTCCAAAACCAACGATCTTTTCAGGATTTAATTCCTTGTCTGTCTATCCATCTATTATCGGCAATCTACTTTTAGACGATCTCGATTCCAACGCAGAACGTTTCAAGTGCGGTCGGGTGATTACTTTCTTTTTTTGGATTTGCCAAGACCGTGCCAAGAAGGTACCAAATCCGCTCTTGGTGTGGTGGTAGGAGATGTTTTAGGACCTAGCTGCCTTCCCGCGCCGACGTCCTACGACAGACAGACGCTGTGTCGACTCTGCCATGTTGTACCCAGTAGTTACAAACCCCGGAAGAGCTCCTCCCCCGGAGGTAAAACCCGTACCTGGGGATGGACTTTCCACTGCGTCCAAGAAGGCATGTCCTACTTACAGCTGTCAGTCATTGCCATTGCTTACGTTACGATCACTGTAACTACTTTGGAACAGCACTTCCTCGGGACACTCAGCCCATCGGACAAGTCACCCGAACCTGTTCTCTCCCCCCGTGGCTTTTTTTACCACCAAAGAAAAGAAAAGAAAGCACAGAATGATCAAATCCTGTTGACAGTTTGCTTGTTTCTTCTTTTTGTCCCTTTGTCTTAGATGTGTTAGATGTGCATTGAGTGCTCGGGCCTGATGATTGGGCAGGGGTATCTAGGGTACCTAGAGCAGCGTAGCTACATGTAGAGTTACTCGCAGCAGGTAACAAGTACCCGAAAATGCACGTCCTAATCTGCAATTTCCATTGGAGTAGAAGTCAAAAATACACCAAAAACTTGCAGCTGCATATTCGGGTACAGCGATTCACAGGCATTTGGCGAATACACCCATTTGACGAACAGGGGTCACGGCCAATAAGAATCAGGATATCTTAGTCAAACTCGCAGTTTGACTGGTTGCTGGCTGGTTGCTACATACAAATTCGCCAAATGGGTGTATTCGCCAAATGCCTGTGAATCGCTGTACTTCATGCCTGTCGCGAGTACCTCTCTGTGCTACACAAGCTTCCCCGCATTTTCTGATTTGCGCACACTGCAGAGCATTCATTAGCGCCTCTGTCGATCCTCTGGATTATGGGCAACTTTAATCTCATGACGAAGGTCTCAAATTCCCCAATCACGATGCCTTCATCTGCTCGGAGAACTCCATCGCCACACGTTGGAATCGCCAAGATGCCATCAAGCCCAAGGAATTATGCCCTGTGTTGATGTAGGTATTGCGCTGCCGCCGCTGGGACTCCCTTTCCCAGATGACGAAGGTGGCTTAGGCATCAAAGTAGGTAAGTATCGAATTCCTGGCCGGTGAGAAATGCCGCGTGCCTCAAGTTCAGTACTTACAGGTCGTTACATAGGCATTTCGATGTAGTGATGTTCCCCTTAAGCTCGCTTATGGCCACAGCTGAGTAATCCAGGAACGTATTAAGAGTGGTTCCGTGAGACCCGATTTCAGTTGCGCAAGTGACGTGGGGCAAGGAATACATTCAGTAACATGTAGCTGTGTATCGTGGGGGCGCAAATAAGTCGTCCCTCTCTGATGTTTTCATTCCAGTGATCATCGGTTCCGAATGCAGGTGTTATTACCCTAAATCGTGGCCTGGACATGCGGAACCAACAACCTGTAGGCACACGCGCACGGCGTTGGGACGAATCATGATCGAAAGCTGCTATCAGCAAAATGAAGATAGTGTGCCGTTGTCCACATCTCAGCTAACACCGCGCACGGGATGGAGGAACAGAAGCACAGAAAAGGGGGATCTGCATCTCAAAGATATCTACATATCGATTACTACTTAGGACCAACCACCCTAATTTTGCAGGATACGGTTCCCGCATCTTGAATCCTGGGCGTATGTATCGATTGTTCAATTGTCGCCGCTGTCGCCGCCGCCGCATCATGTTAACGTCAATAAGCGCGGTAAGCCGACGGCGATTTCCGCCATTGTGTTCTTGTTTTGTCGGAAGGAAAAAAGAATCGAACGATGAGTAAGTAGTACCTATGTGGTAATTATCGCTACTTGTAAATGTTGAAGAGGGTGCTAAGAAGCACCAGGAAAGATATTCTCCTATGGGTGCAGATCAGAGTTGATTGATCTGAGATTCCTAGTCCTATGGATCATTTAGTCAAATATAGCAGGTTTGAGTTCCAGATGGGTTTCGTATGCAGATCGATTTAAATCACGGAGGATCACTCGTTTAACTGTATTAAGCAGATATGATTCGCGAATTTTCGTCTCGCTATGACGCCGGATCTGTCTACGACAATCATTCCCTCTGTTTTAAAGATCCTGTATTTGCCACAAAGCCTCAGAGATCCCTTGTGTGGCTATCTGGAGTCTTTTGACTCTCGGCTTAGTCGTGCGTCCGGTAAGCCGCAACGTGGGTCAACCGGGGCGATACATGTTAGACTAAGGGGGCGGGGGTGGGGTCGGTAATTTCGGGGGGTCGCCGAGCCCGCCACCCAAACAATGACCGCACCTTTTCGGCCTTTGCATAAAGTAAGGCTTGAAGGTTACATGCTATATTATTCAGTGGATACATGTACTAGAGTAGAGTATGTGTTCCGTCCCAGTCACGAATATATCATTGACTAGAGGGCCAGCCCACTGACAATTCGGTTGTCCTGTTGGCCAAGATTGGCAGTTGGTCAGTGGTGGCTAGAGTTTGCTCGAAAGACACTGAGGATCTGTTGGCGGTAATAGGGATTGAATAGTTCGTATTCAAAACCGTGAAACCTAACAACGTCTTGTGTAGGCGAAATAGATAATGCTATTTGGTAATCGCCTCAATTGGCCACTGGACCCTCCGGTTGGCAAATAGTCAATATTTGTGACTGGGATGGAACATATGCGTCACCTAGAATGGTAATCGCCGGTGCCTATCATAGAGGACGGATATCCGAGTGATAGGGCGTGAATGAAATTAAAGGTTAGTTAACACATGAAAAAATTAGGGTTTTATAATCACCTAAATTTGCCACTCAAAGTGTATAGCTAGGGCGATGACAGGACGCAGAAAACCACAGCGAGATGCTTATGCGCGGACTAGTAGAGTCCGGGGAGTTGATGCGACAACTCTCAAGAACATCGTTCTCGTGGAATATCTCCCCGTCTTCCACACGAGCAGGTGGCTTTTTATATATGGAGTAGCTTCCCCATCGTGAGCTCTATGCTGCCTGGAGGTGGTGTGGTACCTCTCCCCATGTAGCATACTAATTACATGTATCATTGTTTTGTTGTCATTTTCATCGGGGAACATTTTCAGCCTACATTGTCTTTTATCTGGCCTAGGCCGGGGTGAAAAAATTCATCGGATGCATGAAGGTGAAAAGAGCTCCATGAGCAGAGCATCCAAAGCAAACGATCTGAAGCGAATATCACTGGCATCTAAGATTTGTCGTGTAAGAGGTATGAGAGTGATATTGTGTGAAGATATATAGAGCCTCGGAGTGTTGGAAAAGAATCCGCTGAGTGACGCACTGATTAGAAAACGTTAAATGCTTTTTTTTGTGGGGGAGACTGTGCGTGCGACCACCCGGAAGAGTGGGTAAGTACTTGAGTGTGGACGACACGTAGCGGCCAAGAGCAAACAGTGGAATACCCATCCGTCTTCGAAGGTCCGAGCCCTAACATTCAACTACATGTACATTTCCCCGCTTGAGCCATAGTCTCCAGAGTATGATAAATGCATGAGAACCGGCAATGATCATGACTACATGTACAGTAGCCATTGTTCTTTAATACCTCCGGACACAAAATCTCCATGAATTCCTCTACTAACAACGTCGTTAGATATCACCAGTCTGCATATTAGAAAAGCTGCAGACGGGGAGCTTCGAACCAGTTCAGCCTCCCACTGAAATCAGTGCCTCTAGGCCGAGGTATTGAGCAATTTTTGCCCTTTCTTTTGGCTGCTTTGTAAGTCGCCCAGCTAGTTGAGCTTCCCCCTCAGTTCTAGTCTTCCGCAACACCTCCCTCCTCTAGGGCACAGTGATATTTCTTTGATAGGGATGCTTCACGTGTCGATCATATCTCGAGTCTCCAGATCTTGAAATTTACGGCTTCTTTTCAGCAGAGACACTCAGTCTCGGTACTGCTTGAACAAAACCCATTGGTGTAAGACCGAGAGAGATTTCTTGAATGTCTCCGAGACATCAAATTTGGCGCATGATGACCACACGGAGGTAAGACTACGAGTGGAATAACGCAACCTTCGTCAATACCGCCGCCATTGGTCAAATTCGCGAAACTCCGACGAGGCTAGGGCTTCCTTAATGGATTGGAGAAACCGCGATAGCCAGCACCTGAAAGGTAATACGTACGGGCTATAGATTGGAAGAGTGGTGGCTCATTCATGGTACAGCGTGGCACTGGGTGTTCAGCATCTAGAGTTGGAGCAGAACTTGCCTAGATTTCGCCTTTAGTGCTATCTTATAGGCAGACAATTCGGTATCCAGGTTGATGTAGTCCCAACGAAGAAAGGCTGCGCCCTCAAGGCAGCTCGGCCCTTTTAAATTTTAAATTTTCGCTTTGGTTTTAAGACACCTTGAGGGCTCGGGACTGCCGGGCGTGCCTTTTATTTTCATTTGGAGGAATGAGTTAATTCCTAGACTTGGTAAAGCACAGTAACGAATAAACTTTAAAAATATCGTTCTTTGGCCCCGTGGACTGCGCTTCTTTTGTGCTCGTAACTGCTGGGGTAATGGGGCTTGGCGCGCGAGTGACATGCTGTGACCTGCTCTACACATGCTTTTCTGAACGGAAATGACGCTATCCTTGCGCAAAACGGAAAGCTAGAAATACATACAAATTCTCTTTCAATTTGATCTCGTTGTTGTTATAGTTCGGGTTCTTAAAGTGAACTTCAAAAATCAAAGCTCTCATTGGTTGCGCGGCACACTTGATCTTGTCGAAGGAACAAGTCGATTCTCGAGCTTATTACTGTGTAGAAATCCGCTGTTAAAACGGGTCAGCGGGGTAAGTTTACCGGTGACATTGAGGTGTGAATCGTAGCTTCATGAGCCGTTGGTTTTGTCTGGCCTTGGAGAAAGGCTATTCGGCTATTCGATCTCGTGGTGCTTCCCTCTGCGGCTGGAGCCGGTTTGGTCCGGGACGAGATGAGCTAGCCAAGCGCTATAAACTGTCACAATCCGTCGAACCGTGGCTCTTGACAGACCGGGGCCAAGCCCCGATAGGCGATGCAGACTGCGCTTTAGACAGGGACAGATCGTTTTGAGAAATCTGGCATGAAGAAAGACCCCGTCCGTCTCTTACCACCAAGTGACCAACTTCTCCGCCAGAGGACCCGACTGAAGAGCTCTCTTACCACAAGTCCAATATGAACCTGGTCTGGAAATACGAGGAGACGATTTTTTAGTAGTGAAGTGCTCGAGTGACAATCTATGACTCGAATTCATCTAGCTATGCTAATCTAGTAGTTCGAAGGATACGAAGTATATCCATTCCAGTAAAGAACTACATGGCTATCAACCTGCCCTCCCGATCATTAGACATTAAAACTCAGAACCAACATACTACATCAAGGTATCTCATACAAGCAATCAGTGGATAAATATACAAAGAAAAACAGGGAAAAAGGAATGAAAAAAAGGTGTGTAGACAAATGGCCAGAGAAAAAAAGTAAAAATAATAATAAGAAAACATGGCTTTTAGACCAAAGCACCGTAATTACCGCCTCGAATCCATGAAGTAACTCCGAAAAGTTACACGATCACTCACTAACCCCACCACTCCTCACCTCTCCACCCCTGCTCCCCCTTTTTGCCCCACCACCACTCCCTAAACCCGTACCATCACCTCGAAGCTCCCCCACCCTGTCCAGCCGGTGCAGCCGGTGAAGTGCTGCCGTTCATCATCCATTTGGACCACTGCCTCTTGAATATGTTCCCCTCCTTTCCTGTGTCAAGCTCTTGCTCATCGCCACTACTAATGCTGCTTCCATTACTAGACATACTGCGCTGCCTAAAGATTCGGTGTCCATCTTCTTTGTGCTTCGCGTCCTTCCGTTCCTTCTTGAGCTCTTCTAGTTTTTTATCGAAGCAATGGTAGGTGGTAACTGCACCGATACCATGCAAGTTGGATTCCAAGAAGCTCTTAAGCTTTGGAAGGAGTTCCTCTTTGGGACGGTAGGTGCCAGAGTCATTATCGATGATGAGTTCGTAGTGAGACGGGTGGTGGTCCGTGTGTTTGGACTCCCCGTTGGGGGACGTGATTACGTCTGCACCGTGAGCTGCTTCCCCATCGTGATGGTTTGCGTCATTCCCGTGAGCTTTATGATGCTCGTGATGGCTGTGTCTCTTCCTTACAAAGAATTCGCCCGAGTAAGCAATGTATTTGCTGACATCGCTGTGTAAGCTATGCTTACTCAATAGGTCGACCGCGAACTCGTCGCCTGTCTCGGTAAAGCGCCATTCCGCGTCGAGCGTAATGACATATGTGAAGATGCGGTATCCCTCGCTCCAATGGGTCATTTCAAGGAATCGCCTTGCTAGTGCATTGCTGTCCTCCTTTCTACCATCTGGAGAGTTGTCGATATAGCCATACTCTGTGTTCTGGTCATAGCAATACAGATGGTTATACTGGCTATGCAAAGCCTGGTTGAGGACACGGCCCTTGAGGCCTTTGCCAGAAAAGTACGCTGTGACGAAGGGGGCAAAGTCTACGTATCTGTGGTGGAGCTCTGGTGGGACTGGGCCGGTGAGTTGGAGCTTGTTGGCTTCGAAGGAGAAATTTGTGGCTTTGTCTTCCTCTTGAGGGGAGTCTTTGGCGCGGACTACTTTGCCGATGAGGGGAGAGAAGTGTTTGGACCAGTAATCTAGAATATACTGTTAACATTGTCATATCCCAGGGTCTTTTGGAGTGCGTACTTGGACCACACGTAAAAGCTCTCTTGATGTCATGAAACCCTTCGGCCAGCCTCGTCTCGCGCTTTATCTCAATCCTCACGACAATCATGGTCGTGACCTTCTTCTTTTTCTTCATGTCCGCGACACACAGCTTTAGCACTGCTGCTTTCTTACTAGCACCCTTCTTTCGAAGCTTATAGCTCCCTTCATTTACTTGGTTCGAGCCCCAATTCTCCAGCTCTTGGAAATCAATGACTGCTTGTCCCAACCTATCATCACGATTCCTGACATCCTCATCCAGGACATCGATCCGTAGCTTTGTACCCTCTCTAGGAACATTGCCCAGGTCCCAACGACACTCCCAGGCAGGGTTGGTAGTAGTACGCACTGTGGGTGTACGGAAGTGTAGTGGTGGGCTCTTCTCTGGGTCTTGGATTGAGACGGCTGTGGTTAGGATTGCAGCAACATACGGGTCTGAGGCAAGGGTGCCGAGGTCAGCGACAGGGAGATTCGAAGCTGAGCGGAAAGTGATTGTTATGTCATAGGTTTTTGGAGGCATTGTGAATGCGACTCAAGCTGGATGAGCCCTGATGGCGACGATGATGGTTGTGGTGATGATGGATGGATGGATAACTGGAGGAGTGGAAAGAGAGGATGAGCGATGAGGTGCAGTTTACGGGGAAGAGAGGGGTGGAGGTTACAGGTTCACAGCAAGGCTGACAGTCAGGCATTCGGTCGGTCGTTCTATTTCCACATGCGCCCTACCGCAGATTCTATCACTATCACACTCTGATGAGGCGTGGAGGAGGGGGACGTGCGACCCTTGCGGCTCATTGTTTGTGCGCCCAGGCCACCCGAAATTGCCGAATCTGTGCAGCCTGGCCGGCAACGTCGGATCTGGGCCCTCGAGAAAGTGGCTTTCCCCACTGGCGGCGGTGATTAGTATGGAGGGAAAGCTTAGCTGTGCACGGGCAAGGTGGGAGAGAGAGACTCTTTGTGCTTTGGTAGGCGCTCGAGTGGAGCGGAATAACGGCGATGGCCTTGGCGGTCGGTGATGTTGCTTTTTTTGACGGCGTGGAGATGACATCATTTCACATGGGGCTGCAGAGTGATGATGCTCTGCTGGATTTGAGAAAGCAGGGCGTTTACTACTGGAGTAGATAGAGCAGATTCGCAGAACTGCAAGGCGGCGTTGATATCTCTACAATTCTACTATTCTACGATTCTACTAAACAGATTAAATAGGTTAGATCCCCTTGGCAAGTGCTACTGATTGGGCCCAATACGGACAGACGGGATGTTTAGTAGAAAGGCCTGGTCAGACCATTCTGGGCTGTGCAGAACTACTTGTGTTTATTTAGTGACTGGTGCTGATGGGCTCAGTTTACACACAGAGATCCCACTGTACTCGTCACAGCCCGTCACTCGCACGTCGAATGATTCACCATGTCTGATCCGGACCTATCGATCACTGGCCCACAGCCGCAGCTGACCACCCCGAGTGACAGCCAATGAGCATCGCAGCACATCCCACCCCACCGCACATCCGGGACACCCTTCACTCCGTTCCCGGGGCCAAGAACAACTCTAAATAACCGGGCTCTCCGGGGTATTTCATTGCGCAATGACAGGGATTCCCCGCGGCCGTAATCTACGCGTCTTGAAATGGCCGAGCGGTCGCTGGAACAGCTCCCGGACAGCCCCCGGGCCTGCGATTCTCGGGCCAATGTTGTCGCAGTATCGAGAGTTATTAAGAACCAAGTTTTCCAGAATGTAGAATTGCAAGTCGCGCTGTAGATAGACACCGTGGAAGATGTTTGGCCGAATTGTCCCTGCGTCTGCGTTCCTGGCGGCGGCGACTGTGTTTGTCGGGAGTCTTTTGATACCGGCCACGGATGGCGCGGTGTCGAATAGTACAAACACCCGTAAGCTTTCCTTCTCCAGACCCCCAGCTCTAGTCCACAGACAGAAACTAACCCCACGAGCCCACAGTATCCCCATTCCTCTACACGCCCCTCCCCCTCACCGCCATCCGCCCGCGCGGCTGGCTCTCCTCGCAACTGCACCTCTCTGCAGCGGGCCTCGCCGGCCACGAGCACGACTTCTACCGCTACGTCTCCGACAGCACCTGGCTCGGCGGGTCCACGGAGTATAGTGAGCTCCACGAGTCCGCGCCCTACTGGTTCAACTACATAGTCCCGCTCGCATACGTGCTCGATGACGCGCGCCTCAAGGCGCAGGCGAAGAGCTTCCTGGATTATGTGCTCGACCACCAGGCCGAGGATGGGTGGATTGGGCCCGAGACTACGCGGGAGACGAGGGGGATATGGGCCAGGGCGTTGGTGCTGTTTGGGATGACGGTATGTAGTCTGACTAGGGTCAATGATTGTTGTGTCGGCCTGGGGTCAATGATCACTTGTGTGGTGAATGGGTAGTGCTGATTGATGCACAGCAATACGCGGAGGCGGACCCAAGCGAGACCGAGCGCATCGTGTCGTCAATGCACAAGTTCACTGTGCTGGCGCATGACATGCTGGCGAGCAACTTCACGGGGCTGATCCAGCAGAGCGGCGACAATTTCGATCCGTGGCGGTTTGGGCTGGCGCGCACGCACGAGCTGGTCATGTCGCTGCAGTGGCTGTATGAGAACCACCCGCGCGGGCAGGAGCAGGTCATTTGGGAGACGATGGAGCTCATGTTTGAGGGCGGGAGGGTGGGCGAGAGGGATTGGACGACGTTCTTCGTGGAGGGGGTGTTTCCGAAGGTGGGGACGCCGGCGATTAAGGATACGAGGTTTACGCATGGGGTGAATCTGGCGCAAGGTATGTGTATTTCTGGGTGGATGGCTTTGGTTTTGGATTTTTGGGGAGGGGAGGGGGAGTGGAGTGGGAGGATTGGGCTGACGGTGTGGTGTTTGAAGCTTTGAGATATCCGGCGGTGCTGTATAGGATGACGAAAGAGGACGGGCTCCTGACACAGACCAGGAATGCCGTGAACTGGACTTATACATATCATGGGTCCAGCTCTGGTACTATCATTGCAGATGAACATCTCGGCGGTCTCTCACCACAAAGAGGGTATGTAGATAGATATTCTCCCATCGAGCCTTTCTCACGCACTAACAATCATTGCCCGCAAGATCCGAGCTGTGCATGTCCGTGGAGACAATGTTCTCCCTCTCGTACCTGTACCGCTTCCAGGGCGACAACGCCTTCGCCGACGGCGTCGAGCGCGCCGCCTTCAACGCATTCCCGGCCGCAATCTCGCCCGACTGGTGGAGCCACCAGTATGTCACGCCGACCAACCAGCCGTGGTCGAGGAATCTGACGGCAAAGCCGTTCTATAACGTTGTGTCGTATGGTAACACTTTTGGCCTGGAACCAAACTTTGTATGTCTTATCTCATTGACCTAAAGTGAAGTATCTGGTATGGCGGATTAATTGTTTAAACAGCCTTGCTGCACGGTCAATCACCCGCAAGGATACCCCAAGTTCCTCGCAACATCGTTCGTCAAGGCCGGCTCCAACGGGCTCATCCACGCCCTCCTCAGCCCGTCGGAAGCCACGACGACGCTCGCCCACGGCAATAAGGTCACTGTGTCTGTAGACACGATATACCCGCTCGGTGACACTCTAGTGTACACCATCACCGCCAGGTCCTCGTTCGACTTCTATATCCGCATTCCGTCATGGACTGTTCTTGCCTCCTCGAGTATCTCTGTAGATGGTAAGAAGGCGGGGGCATTAACCCCAGACGAGAACTCGCTGCAGAAGGTGGTGGTGAGAAGCGGGAAGACGACGGTCAAGGTGAGGCTGGGAATGGAGATCAATGTAGTCACCCGGGGCTCCGGCGGTGTCGCGGTGTACCGCGGACCACTACTATATGCTCTCGATCTCGAGTATTCCTCAGAGTCCTTCCAGCCACTAAACTGGACCGATACCCAGCCGCTGCCAGAAGACCAGACCCTCCCCGAAACCCGTGACCACATCCTCGAGACACCGAGCGAATGGCGCATCGCAATCGACCCCACAAGCCTCACCGTCACCGACAACTCCGCAGGCCTAAAGATGGCCGATCTCCCCAGCCCGATCTTTGCGCGCGGGGCCGCGCCCGTCAGTATCACTGCTGCCGCGTGCGCAGTGGCGTGGGATGTGACGCTGGATTCGCCCGCGCTGCCGCCGCTAAGTCCCGTGTGTGTGGGGGAGAGGGTCAATGTGACGCTCAGTCCGTATGGGACGGCGAAGGTGCATATGGCGGAGTTGCCAGTTGTGAGGTTTTGATGTGGGGAGGGGGGGTGTTTATGTGTATAGATTATATTATATGGCTTGAGAGTTCGATCGAGCCAATTAAATAAAATAAGAGAATATTGTTGTATCGATGAAGAACGACTATATGACTGCCATGTAGATCTGGAAAAGATACAAATATCACATATATCACCGCCTGCCCTCACACCCCGCGTTTCGCACGTCGTCCAACATTTCCCCTCTGAAGTAATCAACCCCTCTGAAGCTCTTGACATCCGAGTGATGTCGCATGATCCAATCAATGTACAGGGTTAGGGCTCGATGCCTACTTAGCCGGCCGCTCGACCTGGCGCAAATTGCTCTCGATCTTCTCTTTGTGAACGCTTTTTGCATTTGTAGGCAGGCAGCACTGTATCTATGTACTTTAACCCCGCTCTCTGTCTAACTGAATACTGAGCACTGTACCTACAGCAAATTGCTGGCCTGCGTGAGTCACACGCCCTCCCTTTTCTGCTCATGAAGGGATCGAAGGTGCGAAGGTGCGAAGGTGCGAAGGTTAGAGTAGCTAGAGGAGAGGGAGGGATTATTCCCAGGGTCTCGCGACTTTCTGCAATAACTCTACGCGTGACAAGGCGCGCCCCCTCAAAGTGGGGGATATTATATAGAGAATCGCGTCTCCCCACCTGCTAAGCAAAAGACGTGTGTGCCGATCGCGATCCTTTGGCTGAGATTTGGGCCCTTTCACTCCCGCTCTACAAACATACACTCGCTGCCTGACTGACATCTTTGATCACAATCACACACCCCCACTGCACTGCACTGCACTGCACTGCACTGCGCTGCGCAGCCTTACTCTCTCCGCCTTACTCTGGCACTCTACACTCTGGATCACATACTCCACCTGCCTAGCTAGCTACAGAATTACGAGAAACCCACAATGTCAGAACCCACCGACATCAAAGGCCGCGACCCCAAGGCGCCGCGAAAGCCGTTCCCGCAGCGCTACACCGACGAGCCCGACATCGCGGGCTCGTCCTCGTCCGCCGTCCCGCTGCTCGACCACTACGAGGATAATGCGAGGGCGGACGACGACGACGAGGAGCTGCCTGGCTATGACGACCTGGGCGGCGACTACGGTGGTGTTGCTCAGGCCGTGAATGGTGCTGGCGCTGCTGCTGCTGCTGGTGGGGATGGTAATGTTGGTGGTGGTGCTGGTGGTGCTGGTGGGGACGGTGACATTGACGATGCCCCGCCAGGCTTTGAGGATTATCGCCCGGTGGTGAAGAAGATAAGGACAAAGCTTGGCATGGGAGATACGCTGCTCGTGTCCCACGACAAACACCTCAACACTGATGGCGAGGCGCTTTATAGGTGGGTAAAATCAATAGCACTTGTTTCTCTTTTTTTTGCTTTATTCTGTGATGGATGCGGCAAGTATATATGCGTGTGTGCAGCTTCTACGACTGGCTGCGCAACTCACCCGGGGGGAATGAGCCATTTTGTTTTACTGAGTTATATAGCTAATTCATATCATGGTTTTGGTTTTTGCTACTACAGATGGCTCTTGCAAGAGAGCCGTAATCCACCCAGACCGGAAATCCACATACAAGGATCCCATTCGGTCAGCAAGCGGAATGGCGACAAGACCGAGACGTCCACGGTGACTGATTTTAACTTGAAGATAAATCTGCGCTACCGTCTCGAGAAAGCCTATTCAAACGGAGGAATCCTTCCTCCGCTGAAAACAGTCCATCCGACAAAGAAAACAAGTCGTGGTGGAAGATGGAAGACAGTGGCTGCCGACCTGGAGGAAGCAAGAACGGTTCGTAGCTGGGCCGACCAATACTGTGAGGATAAATCAACACTGAAAGAGTATGCTTGCGCCCCTCCCTCTCTATCCTACCTCTATTCCCCCTCCCTCCCCCACCTGCATCCTCCACTAGATATATATCCACAGCGATCCCGATTCGACATCGTATCGAGATACGCTACATGATACACGATCGTATCTTGATAAAGGGTCCCAAACACTCTTCTTACTTGTGCTTTGACACTGACACTGCATGTTGCATCGCAGGTTCATCATGAAGAAGTCTTGTGTGGGCTGGGATCTGGAATGGCTGGAAAGCAATATCGAGGCCGTGATTCGCGCAACAAACTATCGCGGCTGTATCGACGTAGACTTCCCAGTGTTCGAGTCTCGTGTAGAAGTTTTCCCTGCCAACCGTATTTCGTTTATGCGCAAGAACGAGTGGTGGAGATGGTTTTTCTACGTGACCTTTCTCTGGACGTTCTCATGGCCCTACCTGTGGTGCTTTACCAAGCGATACCATGTAGCGGAGACGGTGTGGAATTATGTCTATGTTCGCCCGGGCAGCCGAGTACCGCCTACCACTGAGGCTGACTGGCTCAACTTGGGTTGGGGTGAGGCGATCAAGCGCGCCGCAAAGGCCAGACGGAAAGGTAAAGTAACCCGTCACGACCTCGAGGAGGTCTTGAACCGGGCCGCGGCCGGTTCGCAGGGAGAAATGGTGAGAACCCCAAAGACTGGAAATCCCACGGTTGATAGTGCCTTGGGATTTATCGCGGGTGTGGGAGCTATTGCCAATGATATGCGGTTATCAACAAGTGAGATTATTGGTTGGGGCGCCGACGAAAGCTGGGAGTAAAAGAAGGCGAGCTAGCTCTAGCTTAGCTACAGTGCCGACGTTTGCCTCTTTTTTTTTTTTTTTTTTTTTTTTTTTTGTTTATTTCCTTTTTTTCTCTTTTCTCTTTCTTTCTCTTTCTTCCATTATTTTTTCCTTCCGAGCTCCCCCATCTGTGTTTTTTTTTTTAATCCGACGGGGAGTTGAGGGATCAGATCGCATTTTCGTTGTTCCATTCGACGGAAACACGTTTTCCCAGTAAGAAAACGTTGTGGTGCTGGTTGGTTGGTGGATAATGTCTCAAAACAAAAAAAAAAAAAAAAAACCCTGTGTAGGTCTTGGGGATGCGATTAGTTGTCCTGGCCTGGTAGAGTAGAGCGTGATGTATGTTTGTAGATAGATAATTGGACAGTTGGCACTTTTTTCAGCTTCAGTCATGTCTTGATTCTGTGCCTTTTTTTCGAAGCGCCCTTTTATGTGAAGCAGCAGCCTCAGAAGAAGAAGCATGATGTAGTTACTCTCCAGCATCTCTCTACCCGCCGAGCTAGAGAGAGCTTGAGACGTTGTTGAAGTCTCGCCGTTACTGCTTTACTGCTAGTACTAGTGTTTCTCGTGACTGCCCGTACCTTGATACTGCCGCACCGCGACATCATTTGTTCCTGTACCTGAGCCAGTGCCCGCGTGTTCTGTGTCTCAGACACCAGCGAAAAGGAACCAAAATGTCTCTCTTGTGTGATGCCCCTCACCACAGCCCCCCCCCTCTCCTCCTCTTCCTCCTCCTCTCTCCACCCCTCAGCGCGTGTTGCCCCTCCATCAGCCGCTGCCTCTTTTCCCTGCTTGGTTGCCTCATGTCTGTCATGTCTGCCCTCAGATAGTGAAGCTACTTACCGTGTATCATGACCCCTGCAACTGCCCGCCAACACATCAGAATCACCCTCGCAAACGATCTGCCAACCGACTTGGCGATACCAAGCATCTAGTCCAGATGCAGGTAAGATACAATAGCTGCATCCTCACGTCGGGCAGGTCTTTGCAACTGTGGGTTTAGCCTCGATGCAAGCACCACCGCCCTCTCTCTGTCGAGTTGTTGGCCCCTCCTGGCCAATCCGTTTGAACCAGCGCATATCTGGATGGAGCTTTGAGCCCTTGGTATCGCGAGTTCATTGCCCCTCCTTTGTCCCGCCCCGCTTTCGGGTGGTGGGGCACTGGTAGAGTACTTGGGGGGGTATTCGAGGGAGGAATTGCATTTGCTCGACATACATACGAGCCTGCATATACATTCACGCATTGCAATCTGGAGTATCTATGTAGATTATGTATGTGAGCTAGAGTTAGGTAGGTATGTATGTAGTTGTATGTAGGGTCTACTAGGAAGTAGAGTATGTACCGACTGCTCTACAGCTCCAAGATACCCTATATCAGAACCACAAATAGGACCTACCACAACACCAACAGTCCAGTGAGAGGGGACGTCTCGCTCGCCGTTCCAGAAGCCATGGTTTTACCCATGCTTCTTTTTCTCGCCTCCATCTTTCTCCGCAGCAGGGCAGATCTGATCGAGCTTAGTCTGTTGTACAGCACATGCATCCGGGACGAACCACTGGCGGTGTTTGGTTTTGTTTTACCAGAGACCCGACCCAGAGTGGCGAAGGTACCCCCCCAAGGAAGGGCCAATTGACTTCCAATAACCCAGAACAGAAGGGGCTTGCACCATGCCTGTCTAGTAGAGCATGTAGAGCTTCCCTCCATACTACCCACGGACCACCACCACAACCACAACCGCTACCACCACCACCACCACATCCACCACCTCACCATGACTGGAATAGCTGCAAACTCGACACGTCGATAGCGGCGGGAAGAGGTAAGAGAGTTGACTGAGTGGGTTGGTGGTTGGTTAGTGAGGGGTTGATGTGGTGAGGGGCAGGGAAAAATCCAGGTAGCGGGATGAGAAGGAGGGTTAGCTGCTGGCTAGCTCTCTGGCTTTTAGCTGGATGAGCACTTGGTATAAAATCCGCTGGATTCCCGCACCAGTTTTTGCATTCTACTCTTCACTCTCATCACACAATATCACAAGCTTCTTGAACCATCTACTAGAATCTTCTCACGGTTCTATTCAAAAATTTAATCCATCAGGCTTTAAGCTCTAAAACCCATAACACTTTATACACAATGTCTAGGTACGTTCCATATCTTGTTACCTTTCTCTTTTTCTTCTTTTACTGAAAAGGAAATATCTTGTTTTCATGAACCTTCCTAACTGACATCTTTACAGCGGTGGATACGAGAGAAATGACGAGCGTGTCTCCAACGTTCTTTCCCAGGCTACCATCGACAAGGCACTCCTGGACCATGCAAACCAGCAGCAAGCCCAGCGCCAAGGAGGAGCAGGAGGTGGCCAACAGGCGTCAACCTCAAACTACTCACAAGGGCCCGATAGGCCAGGAATCACTCGCAAGGATACCACCTCCCGCCGCGACCCCTTGACCGGCGACCTTATCGAGGAGTACTCCGGCGAGGGCGAGGGCCCTGCGATGCGTGCCCATTACAACTGGGACGAGCCTGGCAAGGCCCCTAGCAACATGCCTCAGTCGCAGCCGCAGCAGCAGCAGCGCGGTCCTACTGGATCCTACCAGGAGCCCCGCCCTGGCCAGGTTCAACGTACAAACACCACTATCAGCTACAACACCAGCGGTGACCGTGTTGAGGAGCACGATGGAGAGGGCTCTCTTCGTGTCCGCGCTCTCTACAACGACGACGAGGACCCAAGCACCACATACCGCCCCGCCCCGCAAAGGCACCAGAGCGAGAGGGGTCCTTCCGGCCATTACTAGAGATAGGGTTGGACATTTTTTTTTTTTACAGTTATACAGTTAGGGTCTTGTTTTTTTTTCTTTGGGACGGTTTTCTTCTTTGGTGACTCTTTTCGTTGTTTCTCTGGTTTGGATGGGAGTTTTCTTTTATTGCGGATGAGGGTTGCGGGGTGGGTGGACTTGTGGGGTTGTGGGAAGTTTGGATCTTCTTTTTTCTCGTATATTTGCATCAAATAGATGATACAATTTTGTGCCGGGTATAAGCATATTCGAGTGTTTCTCTGTGCTCATTGTGACAATGTTTGGTAAATTTACCAGAAGTTTTCTTTTCCAGGTGGTTGGTGTTGTTGGGGGACGATCAATGGGCTTCAAGGCATCGGCTCGAATCCTCTCAGCACTTCAGACACCAGCCATCACTCGATTAACGTTGATTAGCTGCACATGCACATGTTGCACAGCCCTGCACGGAATCATGTGTTTGGTGCTCTGTTGTAAATTCTCCGAACAAAAGCAATTATAGGCTCCAGGTACATACTCTATATGTACTTTAGAATTATTTTTTGCTTCTTCTCCCGATCGTTTATTTTCCGATTAGCCAACCGTACCAATGCCGAGCTCTAGATGGCTAGCTACACTACACTACCCTGACCATTCCAATCCGAACACTTGGGAACAGTAAAAATTTGCGGGGCCGGATCTGAGTCAGGGAAGCTTCTAGTGTCTATTGTACATGCAGTACCACGAGGTAGGCCTGCTCTAATTAGTGTAGAGAACTTGAGTAACTTAAGTAGAGTGGATGATAACGTATCCGCTTTGCGTACATGTAATTAACTAGAGTACTTTGCTTAGCGCCAGCTACAAATCTTGGAAGAGATATCGTAAATTTAAACATACATGTAGGATTGTGAACTTTAGTAGTAACGAGGATCGTCCTTTCGGTCTCCTGGGAAACTATACACAGTTATAGTTAATTTTGCGGTACGAAAATGAAACCTCTTTCGCACCATTAAACTCGGATATCAAGATCATCTGTGCGGCATATTTCGCACAATATTCCGTGAGGCTGCTGGATAGCTATTACATAAGACCGTGCTTGTTGTGAGGCAGGTTAGTTGCCATATTATTACATGTAATTTAGTATGGTTGTGGAATGTATGCCCCAGGGCTATATAATTTATACCTAGGCCAGCAACTCGTTACGATTTGAACCGATATATAGTATAGGTATAGGTAGCTCTCGGGTTGGGAGACCTACACTAGGCTGGGTACAAGAAGCCATGGTATTGTTGCAAATCTGCATATATGTATGCTACCTAGGATACCTCGAGACGAAGATCACGAAACAGAGGGATGAGGATTACTGTAGAGTACATGTAGGTACTGTACTATTGTACTACCAGCCCCATTGCAATTAATTGGTTGCAATTAATCGATGCGATAGATATACTCTATCATGGTGAGAGTGGATGGAATCAGCCTAGAGGTAGATAGTAAGTCGCCTTGGGCTCGAAATGGGTGGCCATGTGGGATGGAAGGGGGGAGGAAGGGGCTTAAATGCATAAATTGCGGTTGGGCCGTAGTCACCCACGATCACTCTTAAGTTGCCGATCACTCTCGAGCAAGGCTGCACCAGTACTGGTTACACACTGGCGTGCAGTCAACGTACGGTACGCCAATTTCATCTACTGAGTTCTATCAACCTTTAAATTTCATTTCATCAGATGACACTTGCTCATTGAAGGCCTCGAAATTCTCAACCTGGATAAATGCACGTTAAGGCAATAAGGTACCGCAAAATCTCAGGAATAACGAATCGAACTGGACTGAGAATACTGGGCTTCAGATTGGTCAAATGAGTGTTGAGCCTCAATCCGACAGACCCAAAGCGTAACTCTTGGTCGTCTTGACCAACGGGTATTCCAGCCCAGTCCGACTCGTTATTCCTGAGATTCTGCGGTAGGTCTAGGTGGTACTTACAGCAAACTCACATACGCCAAGACACGCATCGTTTGTAGGTACACAGCCTCAGCGACCTTGTTCGCTAGCGCTGAACTGTATCAGTCGACTTGAATTAATGAAACGTCTTAAGGTTAAGCTCTCGTCCTCTGAGATCGGGCGTTTTGTTGCGCCCCGTGTTCCCAGAGCAGGGGACGTGCTGTCGTTTGAGGATAGAGGAGTCTCGTGGTCTCACGTTGACTGATCTGCGGCTGTTGGATCATGTCAGTGCTTAGAACGACACTTCTAGAGCCACATCCTTCTCATCAAAGAATAAAAGAGCTCTGTCTTTGTTATCTTGTGTCTGGTTGAACTCTGGGATATTGTGCTCAAGCTAATATACAAGCCGCCATCAAATACATGATGCTTCGATAATAATCCAGGTTGAGCTTTTGCGATCAACTAACCGCAGTAGATCTTATTGACATCCCGCGCGCGCTTATTATATAAGAGCATCATGTAACACTGCCTCCCTATCTCTGGGGCCATTAATTGGGGACGCTTCATTAGTGTGAGGATTTAAAGTGCGTTCTTGAGACCGCTAGGCTGTGATGGGGTTTACCACGTACTCGCAAGGCTTTGAATTTACCGCTACAGCAACCAATCATACATAAGGCAGATCCGATGGATATATCACTGAACGAAAACCCTACTTAATGCTGATAACCGCTTTATCTTGAGTATTGGAAACACCCAAGATACAGGCCTTTGAATATCCTCAAGCTAGCAGCAGCACCATATATTTGATATAGTCTCCCTCGAAAACAATCAACTAGATTAGGACTTCGGCCGATAACAAGATGGCTCCCCGACGCGGTGCATTTGGAGAGATGACGGGTCCTACAGAGCCCTCACCAGAGGTCATATATCCCATCATCGATTATAGCAAGAGTCCGCGCGCTATGATGGAGGCTCCAGTAGCAATCAATAGTCTCTATCTGGTTGGGCTCCTTAGTTCCGCATTCATATTCTACAGGTATACCAACCGCGATATACGGAAAGGCCTACTCGCCCAGCTTCCATTTACGTTTATTTTCCTCACCTCCTCCACAATCTTTAACATCATAACCGGTACACTTTTTCTTGCTGAGGATTTAAGCGTCCGCCAGACATATAACATAATGCGGGGCTTCTTCACGATGGGCTACTACCTTGGAAAGCTGTGCTTGCTGGAGTCTATATTTTCAATCCTGCATAACCGCCTCTGCGCCCTCAGCCCCGGGAGAACATCGAGGGCCGCGTTACTTATGATATATCTGGATCGATTTTTCGTGGCGGTGATGTTTGCGATTGTTATCACGATAATGGGGTTCAATATCAAGTACACCATGGATTCAAATGATATTTATCGTGGAAGAAATGGCGTCACGTGGGAGAACTCCGTGGGCCGTTATCAGATACACTGGGATAGGGTCGTTTTTGTGTATGACTTTATGCTGCTTATATGCGGTCTTCATTTTTCGAACTTCTCATCACACCTGCTACGCCGGGCAGATAAGCTGAATCAAGACAAAAGGGTAAATATCATCTCTTCCTCTAAAGCTAGGTAGAGATACAAGAAGCTGATACAGTTGCCCCCCTGCATCTAGGAAATCAAGATCCTGCTGGCCCTTGTTTCAACAGCGATAATCGTCAATGGCACGTTTTTTGTTCTTGTCGATTTGATGTCCTTTAGAGGGATCGTATATCCCTGGGCGCGCATCAATGTTGCGCAAACCGTTGTCGATACTGTTACCATGATCTGTGCTATCGCTGGTGCTTTGTGGGTTGCGATAAGGCGGGAGGATTGGGTTCCTGGCATCACGGGGAATGGAACAGCGCCGTATTTAAGAGATATCATTAGGAATCGAAGGAGACTACAAGGATACTAGTTTGTGATATTGTAGGTACTACTGAAGATTGGGGTTTTCCTATGTTGGACACATATACCAATATCAAAAGGGTGCTTTTCTTTGATGTTTAATGGGGTTTAGATACGCGTTATGAATTTAGAGATTTTAATGTATATATTTTTAATATTATCACACTGTGAAATTAGAAGAGAGACTGGAACTGTACATAGTTGTCAAGTACAGTCGTTCGGTGATCCGAATCTAAATTTCACATAGAAACTTGCCTGCTATACCGAATAATCTGCTGTATCGAACACGTTCGTTATATCGGCGGACGACTGTAAACCGAATTCGCATGTAGGTGCGGGTGGGTACATGCGGTTAACGTTGGTGCGCCGAGTGTTTGCTGTAGTCGTGATGTCTAGTATTAGACTAATCCAGATTGAGCTTAGTACACAATGTTAGTTGCTTAAATTGATCGACGTCATGGACTACTTGGGCGTTCAGTAAAATGTTGTGAACGCCTAAGTAATATTTTGAGATATTCACTCAAAATATCATTTCCAGTGTTACTGGAATCATATGGTTATATTTGGATGGGGGACGGAGAGTGGAGGAATCTGTCTCAAAAATTTGACTTCTGCCAAAGTCTAGACCGTTATGAAATGGAGGTCGTCTGGCCTCCACACCAAGTCGGTAAGGTTGCCAACACAACACAGCTTTAAGATTCTTAAGTGACTTCAACCAGAGAACCGAAAATCTCTTCAGACGCTCAAAACAGCTTGTTCAGATGTCGACCCCCCCCCCCCAAGCCGTAACTCGTACCTTGAGTACAAACGCGACAACGCCCAGATAATACGCTGGATAATCACCACGGCATCAAACATCAAACGAAGACAGGAGAAGCAAGAGCGGAAAGGTTCTTCAGACTCGACCGCCTCCCAACCCCCCTCCTCCCCCCCCTCCTCCAAGGCGGCTGAAGATAACCCCAGCAAGCCTCAATTGGTGAAGATAGACAGCCCTGCAATCACTGTAGCATCGCTCATATCATTGTCGGAGCTGATTGCAAAATCAGAAAAAACTATCCCAACAACGGTGTTTAGGCTCTTCCGATATGTGATCAATGCCCGTACGAGTGCGTATCAGTTCTGGGCTAGCATATATGCGGGGGATCCAGACGTGGAAATCAAGAAAGCAAACAAGGCCCACAAGGCTTTTCTTGATGCCTTGAACACTGCGTACAAGGTTCTAGGCGGCCCAGAGTGGGAAGAACGAGAAGCGGAGGAGCGGAAGCAAAAGCCTGGCGATGAGGTGACAGATGATCATGAGCTTGCAAATCGGTTCGAAGGGCTTGAGGTGGCCATGCTATCTTCTGACGGAGAGGCATCTAATAACCCAGACAAGCCTGCACCACAACGGGCTCAGCGAAAGAACAAAAAGGGCAAAGGAAAGAAAAAGAAGCCTACAGCGGCGCCGGAACCGAAACCACAGGAGTGGCCATTGGAGGACTTCAAGCTCAAGGATGACCCAGGAGCTGAGACAGAGGCCGTTTTTGGTGCTTTCTGTTTCCTCAAGGATATGGTTGACCTCAGGAGGTAAAATCTATAAAATTGTTTTATTGCAATCATTATCATTATTTTGCTGACGCAGCAAATGAAGATATACCGCAAGCCTATGGCGACAAGTCGCAGAAGATGAATTGCACATAGCTGTCGCAGGTGCCCTTAGCAACGTGGCTGTAGCGAGAGAGTCAAACAGCTTCAGTATGATGCAGCTGCAGAATTCTCTCAATTCAGCAGCTTTGACAACATCATCCATATTTTCTGCCGTGGAGACCTAGAAGGGTCGACTGGCAAACTCAAGTTTGCAAAGATAGGTCCACTAGGCACCCTTGAAACCACCGTGGTAGACTTCCGCGAACATTTCTGTATTTATGCACATGAGGATCTTACAAGATTCATCACGGACTACCGAATCAACAGAAACGGCAAACCCTCACCTGCCTATGTCTCATTGAGATGGGATCCGAATTTGGGGCTGGGAACACTCAGCGCGCAGAAGCGGCGGCAATGGCGTTCAGACTTTTCTATGCTGTGGTTTTACGACTTTGTGAACTCTTATGCCTCTACACTTCTCACTAGAGCGTTCCAACCAAAAACTCTAGAAACATGGGACTGGAGTATAGAAAATATGGGACGCCAGACACGCCGTATGCTTTGGGGCCCTGTAGAATTCGTAAGCGAAATTGCAACCCTCGCGATGAAACGTAAAGACGCACCACTTGCAAGGCTTATCAAACCACATCACGTTTTTCAAACTCAAGTCATGCTCGACTCGATGACTGCATTCAGAGGCTGGCATCTTGATGTCATGATTGGGGACAGTGTTTCGCCTCCGAAGCCGTGGGAGCAAATTTTTACGGAGATGGATTCATTCAAATCGAAATGCTTGAAGGGGACAAGCGATCTTGCGCATGAATACATGGTTGACCAAGAGCGTTATGGGGATCCTCGGCGGCACAAGTACCCAATTGATGAGATTAAAAATATCATGACTGAAATACAGCTCGTCCTTGGCGATACTATGCTCTCACGGGCGGAAGGCGCCCCAGCATCTAGGTTCGAGTACATAAAGACCAACGGGATGTGGGCCTATAACCCTTGGCTTTGTGGAACTGGTTTAGCAGAAGCAATGAACTTTGTGTATGATTTCGGTATCTCTGCGTGGGATAAATCAGGCCTTGCATTGTGCATTTTTCATCTTTACAATATGTTTCTCGCTACCGGCCATATTCCCGAAGGCAAGTTCAACATCATGGAGGACCTATTGACAGTGTTTGGAAACGACCTTTTCACCGGTGGAAAAAGACCCAAGAAAAACTTTTTCAAGTCTTGGATGTTGGCTGCTGGAGTGAAGGCACAGGTTCTGGCGGATCCACGAAAGAAACGCATGAACAGAGGTGGTAACGTACTTGATAGTGGGGAACGGATGTCGAGCCTATACCGTCGCGCAGAGATCCGATGCTTCCATCGGAAGAGTCTACTCCGTGCCCTTCAAGATGAAGATTGGATTCCCGAGAGGCTGCCTAAGGAGAGAATTCCTATCGTCAATGATACTTCCGCGGCCCAGAAAGAGAGAAGGCAAAAGGAGAAGGTGCTTTTCGAGCTTATGAGACGATCTGAAAATATGCCGAGTGATAAAGTTAAAATCAATCACCCAGAAAAACCCGACGAGGATTTCCTCCTATCACTTAGACGTGCATTGATTTTGGATATCAACGGTTCAGTTCCGAATGGATCACTCAACCTTTCGGCGCTTTTAGGCTTTTTTATGCAGGTATTTGAGAAACTTGATGAGGGAACGAACCATTTCCCGAGGCCGTTGGGACCCCCGGTTGGGCCGACTCCAGCAGTACATAACAATGTCATGAAGTTGGCCTTAGACCTGGAAGTCGAGGGGAAATCGCTGGAGGGAAATGAGGTTTTGGCAAAGATGGGAAAGATATTTGTGAAATACGTGGCTGGTGTCGAGTTGGGGGATTTTGTATTTGTTGATTGGATTGTTGATGTGGATTAAATGCCAAGGAATTTCAGGGTGATGGGAGGTATATTTTCGTTTTTCATTTTGGCATCCTTAATCGTGGTTCTTCAAATACATGTATTAAACTCTCCCGTAAATCATGGGGTACATCATATATAGCACACGAATTTTCAAATATAAAGTCTCGCAGAATTCATCTATTCATTATCATGAGATATCACTCGACCTCGGTTCACCCAATTTTCCGAAATGAGATTGTTATTCGTCAGCCTTTTGGGTCTATAAAGCTACATGTATATGTATTTCCTATAGTCCCATAATAAGCAATAAGATAAACGCGAGAGCTCCACTGGTTCCAAAATTTAAGTGATATCACGTGGGGATATTAATAATGCGCGCTGTGGGAAGCCTGCGCATGCAGTTGAATATACAGTCGTCCGCCGATATAACGAACGTGCATATTCCAAAGTTTTCCGTTCGATACAGCAGATTATTCGGTATAGCAGGCAAGTTTCTATGTGAAATTTAGATTCAGATCACCGAAACCCGTTCGTTATAGCAAATTTGTGGCTTTTTTGGCATTCGTTATGTCGGCGAACGACTGTATATGTATGCACGGGCCAGTCCAAATCAAAATCCAGAGCACTACAGTGCTAGCCTCATTCATATGGCTAACCATTTCACTCAGAAAGGAAAGAAACTATCAATGAGAAAATTGATGGGCGTGGGATCGGTATCGAATGAGCACTGTGTCTACTAAATACCTTCAAATACATGTAACTAACTGCGCTCATGAAACAAGCTTGAACCACATGAATCTAACGAAGATGGGCGTAATGGCCGATAACTTTAATTGGTACGCCATGCCGACGTAAAATACCATTAGATTTCCCACTTCAGTACTCCAAAGCCAGCACTGACGTTGTGAGGAGCTGATTTTGTGCGCCCCTTCTCACAATGCCATCCTCACTATGTGAACCACGAGCTCCTGTAAAACTCACTCACGGGAAAACACCGCCTCTCCGAATTCGAGGCAAAACAAATCTTGGAAGAGGGACAGCTCGGTCAGGTCTTCACCAGTTGATGTACCATCACCATCACTCCAACGAAATTTGACCATTGATCAAATATTCCCGTCAACTCCACTAGTTTTTTGAAAATCGCAAAGATCCAGATGGCACATTCCTCTAAACCTCTGAGCTTTACTGAAAATACAGCCAGAAGAGTGGATGTATGTTATCCAGTATGGTGGGAATCTGAGCCACTTTTTTGTTTCTGTGAGATACTTGAATTGATGGTTGAAGATGAAAGTTATATAGTTTTTTTTTTTTTTTTTGGGGGGGGGGTTTCGGTACAGGTGTGGTGGTGGTGGTCGGCTACTTTAGAAGTGTACACTGTATAGAGAGCCCGCAGCTAGCATTAAAATCGGCTATTCTCACCAGTACCGGTGACTACTATGCCTCCTTCCATCCTTCCGTCCTTCCATCCGGATCCTTCCGCCCTTCTATCCTTCCGTCATTCCATCCTTCCGCCCATACAGGTCCACTCCCCACTCCGTGAGGGAAAATTCGATGTGCTAGGCCTCTTATTGTATTGGAGGAATTAGTGGCTGGCCAATAATGATTGATTGATTAATTGATAATATAATTCATCGATTGTTGAGTGGCTGGTCAAACTATTGTGGTGATAAGTCGATGCTGAATAGCACGGGATGACACCAAGTGAGTGAGCGTTGAATGGCTAATGATGAGCCAGCGAGAAAAGGACGGAAGAGAGGCCACTCTTAAATGGCTGATTTTCAGATTTCTCGGCTCGTGCCGAACATCCGTCCATGGCCCGCACCGGTGGAGCAGACAGAGCACAGATACCCCTCATTCTTATTCGGCTATGCATGCACCGATAATCCTTCTCTAAATTGTTCACCCCAGATTTATGCCAGTTAAATATAACCGGTGATTGCATTTAAGTTGTGGATGCGGTATATATATAGTAAACCATATGCAGCGGCTCTCAATCCTCTATGACGAGTTAGAACTATCCTTCAACACCGCCCCCAAGTAACAGAATGCTAGAATCTAGGCGTAAGATCAACTCATTGATAGTAGAGATACCAAGATTTGTTAACGTGTTCCACACTCTTCACTATACCTGCTACATTACAAAACGTCCGCTGGGCGAGGAGTGTACGTGAATGGTCTAAGACTGGCAAATAAACCATAGTTATCTCCACGTATAATGACGCATGAATTCATGATAATCAATTAGAGCAGTAAACCTTCATAATATACCGTAGAAGAACGGGCAGCGGAGGAAAGTGTGGAATTGTTCCCCTCACCGTGCGGGGATATGGAACGAGTTTGCAAGAGAAATATCTACAGAAAACCCTGCTCTCGTTGGGTCCCTCTTTCTTCAAACATTAACTGTTTCAGTATTGAAAGATGGAGCTATATTAATCACCGGCTAGGAGCGATCCCAGTTTTACAACCTCGTCTCAATTCTGGTCCACATGATATACAACTATTTTATCGAAAATCATCCAAAGGAATGAAGAAGACTATCTCTCAGACCCGGGCCGGTATTCCGATTCGATCGGCAGAATACCTCCTGATTTTGAAGAGATCATAACTTGATTCATTGGTCGGAGAGAGTCATTGTTGATTTCTGACGTGGGGGTGATGTTTTAATTTCCTTTCTTGGATGAGTTCGTGACAACAGATGGCAGTTGTGAACATCTGGCCGGATACCAAGTATAAAAGATCGAACTGTAACTATACATTTAGTCCTGAGAAGCTTCTTATACTCGCGGTCTGGCCATACTTTGATTTCGTGGTGTATGAATGTATTGTTGTTATAATAGGTAATTGCAATTTGGCGTAATAATCAAGAGAGATGAGGCAATCTCTTAAGATGAATGCGGGTAATTTACTGCAGCTGACTACATTTATAATAATAAAAAACTCGAATATTGTGCTTTGCGCAATTGTGATAAGAGGAAAAAAAGGACAACACTCTTGAAGCGACTAAAGATGTCCGTACTCATGAAATATCACTCGCTCATGGGGGACGGCCAGATTATGCTGGGTTCCTCGGCAGATAAGATCAAAAAGAGTCCTTCCAGAGAACCAGCTCTCTGGGATAGAGAGGATCGATGAACACATATTTAGAGTTGATCCAATACTGATGATGTGTCCCTCTAAGATGTAGCTACATACATTGTGACTAGCTCAACACCACGGCTTTGAAATCGGCCATCCTTGCACACAGTTTTTCACTCACCCCCACGCTCATTTCAGCTTCTCAAATCTCCAAAGCAATATCTCTACTTCGAATATCAACGGATATCTAGATGGAGCTCGACGGATATCTCGGTAGTGCATGAAGACCAGAAGAGATGAGGGGTCGTTGTTGAAACGGTCCCAAACAATTGCTTATATAATCGTCCGGACAGGTTCCGAGAGATGCTCCGGACATGTTCGGAATGTCGAGGGGGAGAAGTCCGGATACCCTCCGCTCGTGAGAGTAGGACTTAGAGAGGTATAGCTCCTCCTGTTCCCAACAACAGATTGTTACTTACCGAGATCTTTGATGTTCTGCGCTCTTCAGGGGTTTTTGATTTGGTATAATATTGCTGTTACTTCAAGTTCAATTCGCATATATCTTCTTCCGCTCCGGTTTTTAGATTCTTGAGTTCTTGGATAAATATTTCGAAATATACTCTTATTTGCTTTTTCAGTTGTATAGTTTGACAAAGAGAACATAAGAAAGCAATGAGCAGCGGCGGATTGCAAAGAAAGCCGAAGGCTATAGTGGAGAAGGTACCATTCTCTAAGACAATTGAAATGTGTATCCCAGAGCAACTGGTACGTATCCTCGTTTCTGATTAGCTGCTATCCCGAGATAAAGTGCTGATACAATCTGATAATAGGCAATATCCGAGAGAGAGGCTCGTGATTCAAGTATGTAACCTCAATGTTTTACGATAGAGGAACATAAAAGGTTAACGCAGTGTATCAAAAAGTACTTGACATTCAATCTCCCCTCCAAACACCTATTTCAACAATGATGGAGGAGAATCTTTCTCAGATTTCCGAGACACCTCCGTCCAGTATTGCCGCTACCGGGGATGAAGCAAAGAGTCGAAAAGGTTCACTTCGTTCTGAGGTAGCCTCAAATGATGCAGACCATTCGCCCTTTTGGACGCAAGCCCAGGAGGATTTCTTGCCTGAACTGTTCTCAGAAAACGTGGTAGCAAAGATTTGGGGGATAGCCGCAGAGGCATTATGGCAGGTAACTTATCATGCCTTGACCTAAATCTAAAACCGATATTGAACTGCTCGTTAGAACAACCCGCCAGAATCAGCGCCGGAATACACACAACCTCCAAACGGGACAACCTACTCAAATACCGACATCGATTTCTGGACCTCCGGCTTCTTCCCCGGAAGTCTCTACCTCTTATTGGAAAGAGCCGAGCTCTATCCAAACCATTTCCCCCAAGCCAAGCTCCATAAAGCAAAACTTCTATACGCCAGTCGTTGGTGGTCAGAAAACCTACACGCTCAGGCAAAACGAACCGATACTCATGATCTTGGATTCATGATACAGCCGTCGTTTCAAAAAGATTACGAGTTGACTGGGAACGATAGAAGTTTTCAAACGCTTGTGACCGCCGCAGAAAGTTTGGCCAGTAGATATGATGAAAGAGTCGGAGCTATTAGAAGTTGGGATGTGTGTAGAACCAAGAGGTATAGGTTTGAAGATCCGTCGAAAGACTATCTAGTCATTATAGATAACATGTTGAGTAAGTTTTTTTCCATGATCAAATAATTCCATACAATTTTACTGACCAGAAAGATCTTGACTTGCTCTTCTATGTAGCGTTTAAAACTGGCGATGCACGTCTAGCAAATATCGCAATAACGCACGCCTCAACAACATTAAAGCACCACATTCGGGAGGACTGGTCTACAGTTCATGTTGTCAACTTTGATCAGCATAGCGGGAAAGTAAAGGACAAATTCACCAATCAGGGATATTGGGATGATAGCACTTGGAGTCGAGGACAGGCATGGGGTGTTCTCGGGTTTGCTCAGGTCTACGGATGGACAAAACGAAAAGAATTCTTAGATGCTTCAAAAAAGTTGGCAAGATATTTCTTATCCAGGCTTCCGGCAGATGGTGTTCCCCATTGGTTAGTATATCTCATAATTTTCTTCAACACCGCCGCCCAGGTACTGCAGTTACTGACCTTGAATCAATGATATAGGGATTTCGACGCGCCTCGTCCGACTTATCGTGACACATCAGCTGCGATGATATTTGTTTCGGGCGTCCTTGAGATCTACAAACACTGTTCTGGACCACTCGAGGGAGCCGAATGGCTATATGCCGCGAAGAAGATTATAAATTCAGTACTCAAGATGTCATTATCTCCCCGTGCCAAATTCTTGAAGGATGGTAAAGTCGACATGGGAGGTTTCGACGCCATCTTGAAGAACGCTACTATTAATAACTATGAATACGCCCCTAGGAGGTGGGCCGATCATGGGCTTGTTTATGCGGATTATTTCTTGTTGCAGGTGGGAAACAAGTTATTGTCATTGGGACTTTTAGAGTAGATCTCGATAGACTATGTATGGTATTATTTCTTTTTATTTCCCGATTCCTCAACCTGGTATCTACATACCCAATTCCTTTCAATATAGGTTTCGTTATCCTTCCAAAAACAGTAGGAGAGTATGTAAAATAAAAGTCAGTGTAAGCTCAAAACATTATTATTGCCAATAGGAACTTTTCTTCTGCCAATAGATCAATGATAAACGATAAACAACGCCAGTAGAAGCCCCGTAGCCACAAAACCCCAGTCCATTTACATCCCGCCGCCATACGTAAGAACTCGGTCAAATCCGGCGAACTGCGGATCTGAAAATAGGTTTGAGAACTCTGCCAGCTGCTCTACCGTGAAGATACCTCCGTCTGAGTGATCAATAACCCCATTATACCCATTATCAAAATGTTGATGTTCATCTTGTTGGTGTTCGAGACTATCGCCGTAGGGATAATTGACGTTGCCCACATGGCTCGCAGGCGCCTGGAAAGATAATGGCATGGGTGGACTTGCAAGTTCTAGTGGTTCCGGCTCCATATGCTGCCCATTCTTTCCATTCATACCTTTACCTGTCATTTGAAGGAACTCGTCTGAGTCAAAATGATCAGAGTATGCTGGTTTAGAAATGTCGACTGATCCTGTAGCAGTAGAATCGCTGAACAGTGTGTTTTTAGGATCACTTTGTGCTTGTGCTTGAAGGAGGCGTTGAGCAAAGCCCGCTGGAAGGTTGTAGGCATTGTCATGGTCTGCGTAGAGACCTCGCCAGCGTTTGGAGATGTCGAACAGCGCTTTGACTAGAGTGACGAATTCAGGTCGGAGCTCAGTGTTGTAGAATGAAGCATGTGCTATGATTGGAGCTTTGTTAGACAAGCTTGTGTTAGAGGGCTCAAGTCAACTAACCTAATAGCACTCGGCCAGAGACAAATAAACAAAATGCAAACTGGGGGTTTGTAAGCCCAGTGTTGTGAATCAAGTACTGTTGCGTAATGGTTGTAATCTCAACAGCAGCAGATAAACAGGTATCTGCTGAGCTCGATGATGGCAACTTTATGGAAAGTGTTTGCCACTGAATGGATGGGTAGGCAATTCCCTGGTGCAATAAAATGACAGAAGTGTTATGGGTAATGTGTGCCAATGTGAGATTGGGATCCATCTTTCCATTCACGACAGTTGCCTCTCTCCACTGTGGAGGTAAAAACAACTTCCATCTAACCAACCTTAGATCCAATTCCTTGAAGCGCATCAGCCACTGCTGTACCTCCTCAGGAGATTTTAGATCTACTGCCTGCTGTAGAAAGAACCTAGTGACTTGACTAAGTAACTCAGTAGCTTCAATGCAGTAAGAAAACCCGCCAAGATTGACTACTTCGTCGGAATAGAATCCATTAGAGTTATTAGCCGAGTCACTAGGAAAGGGGTCACTTATAAGTGGCGCCCCTCCGTTTTGTCGTCGTATGTTTTGTGTGCCGGAGTTATCTGATATACCGAAATAACGAGTTCGAACAGGCTTTTCTGCTTCCCATATGGCGCCTTCGCAGGGAAGACGTCGGCGTACATCAGCGCTTGTGAGGGAGGTATTCCATCTAGATGTCAATATCTTGTTAGCTAGCTAGCTAGGCTAAGTGGTTTGAATCACGGTCGGTTAGGAGACGTACCCAGTCGCGACTGAACAAAATCTATCGAGAAGAAAAACGTTCCAGAATACCCTCCTTCGTTCTTCACCCTCGGTCCAGGTTTTTGAGGGTCCGAGGAAGTTCATCCTATTTATCAATCGATGCGCTGAGCCATTTCCTGTATTTCCTTCTGCATCATCCTCGAAACTGAGTTGTAGATGCTCGACCGTTCTTGTCATGGAATCCACTATGGCCCATGATTTTGGACCTCTTCCTGAGCCAATCTATGAAACTTAGTAAAAATTAATTCACCTAAATCAGCTGGGGTTGGTAAGACTCACAGTATCAAAAGCTATAATTACAAGTGCTTGTAAATTCTCAACGGAAAACATTTCCATACTTTTCAAAATCACTGTCTGTCTCGAAATCCTAAAATATCGATCCCTGACCTCTTTTCGCTCCAGCCGCTTATCTGCCGAGAACCGGACCGTTGCCGCCACGATGGCATGGAGGATCGTGGAGAGTGCCGGTCGCGTGGTTACCGACTCAAGACGCCGCAAAAAGGAAGTTTTGTGCAGGATTGGAATCCATGGATGGATCAAATCAAAATACAGGTGCACCAGTATATCAACCAGATCAGCAGGTGGGAGTGAAGAATCTTCACAGTCAAGGAGATCAACAATTGTTGGTCTCCGCTGTTGGCTAAGCTCTGGATCCGATGTTGGTTGTTGATACGATCGAGGGGAGACATCGTGGTGGTTGTTCAAACGTTGTCTTTTTGCAGAAACACCACTACCTGAAGTCGCAGGAGATGACGCTTGTAACAATTCTCTTTTTAGACCAGATATTTCAGCAGTAAGTAAGTCCAATGGCTTTGAAGGAGACCCGCAGTCAGACAACTGGGCAAGATTCCCAGGTGATTTAGGTCCAAGATTTGGATTGAGCTCTCGAATTGCAGAAAGAAGTTGGCGCGTTACGAGAGTTTGACCAATGAACATCTTTTCTAAGGTATCAAGGCGTTGACTTAACGACTCGATCACACCGGCTTTTACTCCCGGTCGTGAACGCGACTCATCATACTGGCATTCGATATCTGGTATCGGAGTACACCCGGTCGGTCAGTATCATGAGGTTTTTCGTTAAGGAATCATTTGAAGCCAGAGAGACTAACTCATGCGGGCACAATGGGAGCATGGTTGCTCTCGTGAGCATTTGGCTTTCTTCTTTCGGCAGGACTGGCATCTGTAAACGTTCGTATTAGCAGCTGTAGGCAGTTCAGAAATTCTAAAGGAAGAAAAGTGCTGGTGGGTATTTACGCTGGTCCCTCATCTTCAACACTCTCATCCTTTTCTTTTTCGCCTTTGTCCTTTTCTTTATCCTTTGAAGCAGCTCTCTTCATTTTTATGACTGTTATTAATCTTGATTAGAGAAGACAATAGATGCCCCAAGCTAATGAGAATATTTTCCGAGGGATGAAGGTCAAAATGCGACAAGATGCTCTGGAGATATAGTCCGAAGGAAAGGAAGAAGATATGGATGCCCAGGTACAATGGATCGCCGAGATGTAACGGTTTACCTGTGTGACATTTACACCACCACCCTACTCCTACTGCAGGGCCTTTCTCCCTAATAAATATCAAATCGAGTTTAGCGAAAGCATAAGCGGTGCGCGCGCGGGGACTGTTGGGGTACTGATTAATTTGTTCTACATACATGTACTCTACACACCTGCACACTCCACAACTGCCAGGACTTGCTGCCCCTGTCCTACACGCATGGAATCCCTGTGGAATGCGGGGAACACGAATATAATTTAACCGGCCTCCTTTTAACCACAATGATGGTGTTGACCGGAGTTTTATGGGGGGATACATGAGTACGTAGCTCGTAGCTCATCGAGTCCTGTTTGGTGCCTGGTATTACTCCGAACTGAATCGATGCTCTACCCACCCAGCGTGTGGGCAGAAGAATTGACATGGGATGACGGATAGAGTGTTTATGTATGCATGTCCCGGCCGGGCCAATAGCTGGAGTGCGTGATGTGACTACGCTAGTATCGATTCATATCCTGTTTTTTTGGTACACTACTCGGGCGTTCATTAAATGGTCGGATATCGTTGCAACCAAATCCCTACTAAGAATTCCGACCATTTAATAAACGCATGAGTACCACTAGCAACAAAAACAATACTGCAATGTAGGCTGATAGGGGCCTTGGAATAAAATCATGGGCTATTGGAATACATCTCTACTAAAGAATAAACCTGAGGGTGTACTGATAGTGGGCATCCGCAATATTACCACAATTGCTGTCGGAATGCCGTTGGGGTGATGAGAACACCAAGGTTACGTATACACTTAGCTACAGTACACACCTCGGCACCAATGTGATAGTAATATTCGTAGTACGGACTAGCAGCCGTTGCTCAGCGCTGGCCCAGCCCAGCCCATGTCTACTGGCCTCAGAGGATACATACTCGGGGCAACAAGAACCCGAAAATGCAAGCTGCAAGCAGGGGCTCATTCGGTGTAGCTTTTCGCCAGCCGCGAATCAGAGGTCGTTACCATCAAAAGTCATTTTCAGGTTCTTCTTACCTTACCCCGAGTACATGTAGCTAATGTATGTAGTCAATCATCAATAAAGAACCTCTTGATTCGGAATGGCCATATTTGGCACACACACGCACACACAAAATCCCCAGTACTAAAGGAAGATAGAGCTCTAAAAAGGCTAAATGATCATTTCTGCGAATTATAACGCAACTCCTCAACTGATCATCGAAAAATTGAATCCAGCAATTGCAACGACACATAAAACAGCGTTTCTGAACTTCATAGAAGCCTTTCTAGACAGACTCGATACGGCTCCACTCTTTTGAATATGAACGACCATGTCGATACGGTTGGCAGTGCACGGAGGTGGCGTTGCGGAAGTTCCCACCGAGAATGGCCACTTATAATTTAAATTATATAAATTATATAGAGTAGTACTAGGTATGTATATATATACATACGGCTGGATCTAACTATACTCAATAAACACTACTGTTAATTATAAAAACCTAAATGGTAAGGAATTAATACGCACCTGGAATAAAAGATAATCAGATGTACGGCCGGAGTTACCGAGCTAGGCTTTTAATTGGGTAGATGAGCTGCAACTTGGCATGTCTGTAGCCTAGCTTTGATAATTCTTCAATCTATTCTACTGGTTGGACTTCATCATTGATGCCTTGATCAATTGAATCAGGCCTCAACACGACGTCGACGTATACGTAGGTATATTTTGTAAACTTGATCGGGCTCTAGATATAGCAGCCTATTGAAATTTCATATAAAACCCACTGAAAGCGGTATGTTAATAAATTTACTGACCACTCAGCTGATCAGACCAACTCAAGTGAGGTGAAATCTACACAGGCCAAGCCAGAACGCATGTGCAACATGTAGTTAAACGCAATTGCGCAAATTAGGACTGTATAACCAGCGGAAGCTAGAACACCTTCTGGGGTTTGTTGTTTTGTGGAGGCTCGAGGTTCATCCCATCCATCCATCGCCCGGGTCATCTCCATTGTCTAGATCTCCATCCAATCAATGTAGCGGCAGCTGCATCATCCCATCGTTTCTTTCCGTTCCATGTTTCATATCCCCCTCATGCACATGGGTTAACGTTAGTTAAAGGAAGATCGGCGGGGAAAAGCACGTTTTACTTGTAGGGTACGATGGCGCTACCTGCCCCACTTTTCTTCTGCTTTATTAGCCTGTTGTGAATGTGCAATGTGGACTTAATTAAGCTTTATACTTTATATGCGTGTGATGAAGGAAGCTGCAGTGACTATAATTGTAGGTTATACCTAGGAATCTAGGAGTTCCGTGCTCTAAACGTTAACAGGCCAGACCTTCTTTATACGCCAACTAATCCAGCTTTCTAGGGTTCGAACCGTTAGGAGCTAAGCACAACTACGTTCTGACTTTGTAGAGATAATATTCGCGTAGTTTTATTTTGGTATCATAATACATAATTCTATTAATCAGGAGCTAACAAGTTCAGAAAAATAGGCATTTCACTACATGTACATACATATTCAAAGTTGGGCGGAGAACCCCGATTCGCTGGCTGGACGGCGCAGTGTGCACTGACAGCAGAACATTATATTACCCCGAGGCCTAGGGACTCGAGAGTTTGCGATTAGAAGGACTAAGGAATCATTTCGTATTACATAGTCTAAAGACGGTACATGGTGTCGATGGCCACGGATCAAAATCGTTACAGATCTAGAGGGATTTAATGAGAATCACATCAAGAGCAGTAGTATGTTATACATGTGCATAGATACACGTACGTACTCGTATTAATCAGCATAGAAACCATAAATCATAGGCTAAATTCAATTTCACGACCTCCTGTCTATCCTTCTTCGCTTTTTGCGGGTTCTACTTGATGACAATTGACCTTTGATTACATTAATCATTGTATCAGACAACGCGACCCTATTCTCTGGGGTTTTTAGTGTTTCTTGAAGCCGTAGCTCTACTAAGAAAGTTAAAACGAGCTATTTTGGATACTAATTATAAGCAATATTGGCTTGCCGATAGTTATATATATAATCAAAGGAGATTTATAAGTTCACAAGGTATCAATTCTCAACAACGGGGGAGGAGGGGAGGGCAGATTCTGGCCAAGCATCAGAAAGAAGGGAGTTGTCGGAGATGTCAAATTGATTGAATGATCTCTATCCTTTGAGGTGATAAAGTGTTGTGGGAAGGACAAACATGAGCGGAGCAATTGACGAGTGCCATTCCGGCCCACCAATACATGCCACCCCAACCCAAGCAACTCAAGTATACGGGGCAGACAATAATGAGCCATTTACTCTTCAACTCGCACCTGCCGTCTCAAGGCCAGAAATCTGGCCAGGTCGGCCGGAGGAGTCCCGGTGAATTCTTGCACGGAACGGGCGAGGATTAATACCCGGGGAGACAATTATCTCCGAGCTCTAGATCTCTTTATCTTATTTTGGCTTTTGTATAAGACGCTATTAATACTAAAAGAGCCTTTTTTTTTAATGGACTATTGCGTTGGTCATATATATATTGTATCCATTTCGCGATTGAGGCTTCCTTCATAAATTGTCACTCGTTTCTTCCGTTGTCAATCGCTTATCTTGTTGAATGAATATGCTCAAGGAATGATAAACCAGAGGCCTCTTGGGGCCTTAGCCGAACATGTAGATTACTTTTGATCGGTTTTGAAGAGTCGGTAAGATACATATAATTCAAAGTCTCGCCCAGGCCTCCTTTTGATATATCTATTAACGGCTGATCTACGCGACACCACGCCATAATTGTATGTATCTAAAACAAGCCAGATATATTTTACTCGGATTTCGGCAAGTGGTAGAATACAACGGAATAAATGATATCAAGAGCTGTTACTAGTAACGAGCTCGATAGTTTAATCTATCATATGTGCGAGTAGTTATGTGTATCGATCATTTCCATGTAAAAGTCCAAGGGCCCAAAAGGGGGAATATATTAGATGCATGCATACTTTATACAGATCTTGCGTAACATGCAAGGACAGCAATTTAGCCGGGATAGCTTCTCGACGTAAACTTGAAACATGGGGAAGACAGATAGAGTGTGAAAACGTGCTTGAGAAGAGAATGCAAAGATATGGTTGGGGACACCTTGAGCCGGAGCACTTCCAACGTCAAGATTTCCCAAGCTAATAACTTTCCACAACCACACCCTATTTTAATTATCTCTTTGTTATTCGGCTAGTATTCATCTGATCTATCACCCTACATAGTCCAAATTAATTTAGCTGTTCTGTGGGTGGAGTTATTAGGGTCGGGGTTTGGTGATGAATGTCGCGGGCCATGTTAATTAGTATTAACACACTAGCTAACTGTAAACGAGAAGCAGTTATCTGTGCCAAGAGTCTAATTAACATCCGGTTAATTCTTGGATCGAATGTCGCATACTCCGGCTCAAGGTGTCCCCAACCATATCACTCACACCTGCATGTAAAGGTGTATACATGCATGTAAATTTACATACGCGGCTCGCAAGAGAATCGAGTTATCAACTGAGCTAACCAATCACAGGAATTCAACTAGATATATTTTGGACCACAGATTGCCTACATGTAGTAATATATCCAGTCGATCAGAGTCTTGTTATCTATAGTACAGAAGGGTTTCCAACTCCGAAGGGCGGGGGAACATCCGTCCCTCTTCATACATATTTTGACTGTACGCATGGCTCTTAGTCATTGAATATCACTCGTTTAAATACATGTATTACTAGAACGTACATTTTCTCCTGAACCATTCTATTGGGAATGCTAGGTACATGTATAAATATACACACTGTATAACAGCTCGTTTAGAAAGG